TTTACCTTTGATGGGTACATTCAAGTAAATTTGCCTCCGTGCATCATGGGGTTATTTATGTTTGGAGTCAAGTTAATAAGATTAAGGAAGATATGAGTTTTCAGAGACAAGATTTGAAAAGTGCTAGCCTCTCTACTCTCAACATTGCAGCTAAACAAAACCTAGACCTAATGAGATTTACAACCAAATCTATGAAATATCAGAGCCACAGAGGCAGAAATAACATTGCAAGAGAAAGATTGGTTTTGAAAAGCCTAAACTTACTGGGGATAATTACAAACAGTGATCAAAAAGTCTTCAATAATGTGGCATTTGGGTCCATTTATTTTACATTCCCACGGGACTCAGTCATAAAAATGTAATGTTCTTTCTCATTCTGGCAAATTAAACCATCAGTTAAAAATTCAGATACATAAAAACTAAAGATGAGGAAAGCTAGCGACTGCTGCATTTTCCTCTCTGTTACTCGGTGTCTCAGCTTCTTGCTGTACTTTCTTCTCCTTTTCCTTGATGGGCCTCAAAGGTCTTGGTCCTCCTACCTCAGCTTCCAAAGACTGGACTTAGCGGTTCACACCTGTAGCTTAAGCTACCTTTTTTAATTTTTTTACTTTTTACTTAGTCTCACTATGTAGCTCTGGCTGTCCTGGAACTCACTCTGTAGACCAGGCTGGCCTCGACCTCACAGAGATCCTCCTGCCTCTGTCTCAAGAGTGCTGGGATTAAAGACCACCACCACCATGTGGCGATTTTAATTTTTCAACTAGACTGTTCACTATAGTCATTTTCTTTTTTTAAAGGGGGAGTTTTGAGACAGGGTTTCTCTGTGTAGCTTTGCGCCTTTCCTGGAACTCACTCTGTAGCCCAGGCTGGCCTCAAACTCATAGAGATGCGCCTCCCTCTGCTTCCGGAGTGCTGGGATTAAAGGCATGTGCCACCACCACTGCCTGGCCACTACGGTCATTTTTAAAGCTTAAGGTCATTTATATGGAATGTTCTAGAGTGGGACTGAGCCTATTGCTGTGTTAGTTTTCCTGCTGTTCTTAGGACTGAACTGAGGGCCTTTCTGTGGTGTGCTGCATTGCACCTACAGTCCCAACCTGGAGGATTTTGTTATGCAAACCTTCCTGTCTTGTGTTTTAACAGGAATTGAATCCAATGCCTGATATATACTCTATTGCTGAGTATTGCCCCCAGCCCATGCAGTTCTTAATAATAACTGGCTATGACTAAAAATTGTTACTTGGAGCCCTTAATTTTAATCCCAGCAGAGTCAGGGGGATCTCTGAATTTGAGGCCAGTCTGGTCTACATAGCAAATTCCTAGACCACCAGGGCTACATAGAAACCATGTCTCAAAAAAAAAAAACCAAAAACAAAAACAAAAAACAAAAACTCAAAACAACAACTAGAAAAAGTAAAACAGACTGGGAGAGACGGCTCAGTGGTTAAGAGCACTGGCTGCTCCTCCAGAGGCCCTGAGTTCAATTCCCAGCAACCACATGGTGGCTCACAACCATCTGTAATGAGATCTGGTGCCCTCTTCTGGTGTGCAACTACATGCAGGCAGAACACTGTATACATAGTAAATAAATAAATCTGAAAAGAAAAGAAAAAAGAAAACAAAGTAAGTTGTTCCTTGGGGTAGCTGTAGTTCTTAGGTCTCCTGCACTGGTATTCCTTCTGTCCCTAAATTATTTGAGAGTAGCAGCTTTATTTTTATTTTCAGGGTGGGAGTTTGAAGGTGGGGTCTTAGGATGTCTCCAAATTCTGTGCTCATGTGGTCTTCCCACCACAGCCTCCCCATGTTTCTGGAACCACTTACATGCACTGCTACATCTAGCTCAGTTGGCAGTTCCTTGTGGTAATTGTAGCTCTTTTTACCTTTTGTTGTTTTCAAGACAGGGTTTCTCTGTAACAGCCCTGGCTATCCTGGAACTCACTCTGTAGACCAGGCTGGCTTGAACTCACAGAGATCTACCTGCCTCTGCCTCCTGAGTGCTGGGATTAAAGGCGTGCGCCACCACCGCCCGACTCTTTCTACTTTTTTAAATGTTTTGTACCTGGTAGTTTATTTTTTTTTTTCAAACCTAAACCTAACTTCTTTCCCCAGTGATTCATCTTGCTAAAGCTCAAACTACAACTACTCAGTAGGCTGAAAATACTGCATGGCATGCAAAGTGTTTGAGACATTTGAATTTTATAGTAAACATTTACTCTTATCAGAAACTAGAAGAGAAACATTTTAAGTTTTTTTCATTTTCATTCCTATTCATCTTCAAGCTCTTCTACAGCAGTCACTACCTTTTTACATATGGGAGTTTTCATCTGTTCAGAGTTAGTGTTTACAGTGTGTTTATATAGCTTGGATCGTAATTACCATACTGAAATATAATTATTTCAGAATTGAGTCAGTGGTGAGAATGAAAGCCATCTGGTATCATGACTCAATCCAATTTCTCTTTTACTAAGAACTTTCTTTGGTGTCTAGCTTGTCTCAGAAACATGATCTAGTGACAAATCAGTCTCTTGTTGGGATTGTGTTCTCGCAGTAGCCCCAGATGACTGCGAGGTGAAAACTGAGGTTCAGGTCGAGAGCTTGGCCTGCGCTGGTAGTACAAGCCGGCCTTCAGGCGTAGTCAGGTATGTTATTTGCTCTCTGCGTCTTCAGGATCTCCATGACACAAGAATTTCATTATTAAGCCTTTTACAGCAGGCTCTTCCATCCCAGCCTTCCCTGTGATTGTTTTCTATATTTAACTCAAGGATTGTATTTTACACCAGCAAGTTACCTCTTCTTTAATGTCTTACATTAGCTTTACCACCAGAACTCAGTGTGTGTAGCTCAAGCAGAATAAAGCTAAGGACAAAATGGACAAGTTTCCTGCCCATCTGGTCTCCCAGCTACCTCTCTCCTCTCCTGTAGGCCTCCATCATTCTGTCTCAGCACAGTGGCCTTGCACACACACCACGCGTGGTCCTGCTCAGCTTAGCTTCCTGCTCCCTCTCCAGTTACTGCATAGCTTGTTTCCTTACGTGACTCAGCTGTCCTCCAGTGTCCCTTCCTCATTCATGCATTTTATTGCCACTCTATATATACCCACCAACTGCATCTCACTCTGTGTCCTTTTGTCCTGCTTGGTTTTTTTCTTTAACACATTTCTCCTTCTGGATGATAGTACATGCAGTTCATTTTCCTATTTTATTTGTGCAAATGCTTGAACTTTCTCATATTCAGTTAAAAAGGCAATTCCAAGCCATATCTTTAATGCCAACATTCAGGAAGCAGAGGCAGGCAGATTTCTGTGATTTCGAGGCTAGCCTGATCTACAAAGTGAGTTCCAGGACAGCCAGAGCTATTACACAGAGAAACCTCCACATGTGTGGACCACGGCAAGTGCACACTCTCACATTGCCCAATACACACACAGTAAATAAATACATTTTAGTTTGTTTGTTTGTTTTTCAAGACAGGGATTCTCTATGTAGCCCTGCCTGTCCTGGAAATCACTCGGTAGACCAGGCTGGCCTCAAGCTCACAGAGATCCACCTGCCTCTGCTTCCCAAGTGCTAGGATTAAAGGCCGCCGCTGCCACCACCGCCGCCGCCGCCGCCACCACCTGGCTCTTTTTTTTTTCAAGGTTTTGTGTGTGTCCCCATATCAAGGTATGTTACATGTGTTCTGGTTCCTGGAGAGGCCAGGAAAATGCATCAGGTTCTTTAGAGCTGTAGTTGCTGACACTTATGAGCCACGTGATGTGGGTTCTAGGAACTGGTCAGATCCTCTGGAAGAGTAGCAAGTGCTATTAAGTGCTGAGCCATCTTTCCAGCCACTGGTTTGATTTTTTTTTTTTTTTGGAGACAGAATTTCATGTGGCCAAGGCTGGCTTTGAACTTGCTTTGTAGCTAAGGATGACCTTGAACTCTTCATTCTCTAGCTTCTATTTCTCAAGTTCTAGAACTGTGTGGATGCATTACCATACTATGAACAAATTTAGTTGTTTGCAGAGTTTAGTTAAGATTCAGGATATGCACTCAAAATGCTGGCTGAAAGAGTGAAAATAACCAATATGAAAGCTTGTGTGTGCGGGGTCGAGGGAGGTTGTCAAATCCAGGGTCTTGAAATCCAGGGAAATGCTCTACTTTTGAGCTACGTTCCCAACCTAGCTAATCTTTTAAATGCTAATAGTAATATACAGCATTGAAGAGATCAGTATTTCTAGTATGGTTTCAGAATGTTCAGTGAAAGGATCGTTTGTTTGCTTGTTTGTTTCTTTGTTTTGTTTGGGACAGGGTCTCAATGTGGAGATCTACTGATCTGGAACTCTCAGGATAGATCTGCCTGCTTTTGCCTCTACAGGGCTGGAGGCTCCACCACACCCAGCAAGATCATACTTTCTCCTGTGTTCCTTGATCCTAGCATGGCAGACCTCTCATATTAAATTGTCCTGAATCGAGGCTGGAGAAATGGCTCAGCAGTTAAGAGCACTGGCTGCTCTTCCAGAGGTCCTGAGTTCAGTTCCCAGCAACCACATGGTGGCTCACAACCATCCATAATGAGATCTGGTGCCCTCTTCTGGCCTGCAAGCATATATGTAGGCAGAACACTGTATACATAATAAATAATTAAATCTTATTTAAAAAAAAAAAATTGTCCTGAACCAGTGGTTCTTAACCTTCCTAATGCTGCGACTCTTTAATACAGCTCCTCATGCTTGGATGACCCTCAACCATAAGATAATTTCATTGCTACTCAATAACTGTAATTTTGCTACTGTTATGAATCATAATGTAAATATCTGTGTTTTCCAATGGTCTTTGGTGACTCCTGTGAAAGGGTCACTTGACCCCCACATGGAGAGTCACTCTTTTAAATCTATACTCGGTCACAGTTATAGCAACTTAAAGCTGAATCTCTACTTAAAAAACCAGTTGCTTCTAAACAACTGAATTAACCTCATGTATTTTCTCTCTTCTTTTCTTCTTGTCCCTGTACTTGTCTAGTTTGGAACTGATCAAAGAGCCCATTTCCACAAAGTGCGACCACATATTTTGCAAGTAAGTGAACAGTTTTATAGATCCATTATTAGCTTTTGTTTGTGTTCTTCGTTACACAGCTTTCTAGAGGCGTTTATTTCTTCAGTTAAATGACAAAAAACAAACTCGTTATTCTTCCTCGAGGGGTACTTATGAAATCATCATATATATTGGCCTTAGCCATAGTAATTGGTAATTTTTTTATATAATTTATTTAAATTTATTTTATGTACATTGGTGTGAAGGTGTCAGATCCCCTGGAACTGGAGTTACAGACAGTTTTGAGCTGCCATGTGGGTGCTGGGAATTGAACCCGGGTCCTCTGGAAGAGTAGCCAGTGCTCCTAACTACAGAGCCATCTCTCCAGCCCCTAATTGGTAAAATTTTGACATTGCTTATCTATGTATAAAGTCAATTGTTTAGTTTGCTTTTGGTGTGCAAGGGTGAATGTAGACTGAAAGCATTGTGAAATAAACAAATTACGTTCAGCATTTGCATTTCTGTTCATTCCTATATGTCCTGTTCTTCCCACTAAGAAGGTAGGTGCAGTGTTTGCCTACTTCATGATGCTGGTGAAGATGGGGATCTGAACACTGTCTGTTTAGGCTACAGTCCATTCCTATCAATAATTCAAGTTACACGTGGCCCTCCATATCTAGAGGTTATATGTTGGCTGAGCCAACCAACCATGGGTTGAAAATATTCAGGAACAAATTGTGTTTACATTGAATATATGCAGAACTTTACTTTTCATTCTTCTCTACACAATATAAAGTCATAAACATGTGTCATATAGTTAAAAATAATTAGTGTGTGTGTCTGTTTATGCGTGTGCGTGCATGCGTGAGTTTGTACCCATGGAGGCCAGGAGAGAGTGTTGGATCTCCTAGAGTTGGAGTTACAGACAGTTGTGAGCTGCCACATAAGGGTGCTGAGAACCAGACTCAGGTCCTCTGGAAGAACAGCAAGTGCTCTGAACCATTGGACTATCTTTCTGGCCCTATCATTTATATATAATTGTATTAGGTATTTTAAGTAAACTCTATCTTTTTGTGTAAGGGGGTTGAGTGTTCAGAGTTTGGTATCCCTGGGACCCATTCTGAGGGATGACTATTAAGAATTTTGTCCTTTTTGTTATTTGTTTGAACAGTTCCTGATGGTGTTACAGTTTACCAGTCAGGAATTCCAATTGAGAACTAAGGGGCTAAATTGCAGCTGTTGGCAGAGATGCTTTCATCTGAGCAGTTTCCAGAACAGTCCACATTCCTGGGCTCCTGGCTCAGTGCTGCTACTTTCTTTGTGTTGTTCCGTGCCTTCTGATCCTTTGTCTTTGTTTGTGTCAGGGTCTCTTCCTAAAGGAGACTGTAAAGGGAACTAGGAGTGTTTTGTTCTCTCTTTCCTTTTGTTGTTGTTGTTTTATTTTCTCTTGTTTTTTGAGACTCTCCACTAGGTATCCCTGTAACCGTGAACTCACTATGTAGACCAGACTGGCTTTGAACTCACTGTGGTCCTCCTACTTCTGCCTCCTAGATACTGAGAGTACAGATGTGGGTCAGCACATCTAGCTGTATATTGCCTTTGAAATGAAAATATTTAAGCCAAACATGATGGCTTACACCTTGCCTTAGTTACTATTGCTGTGAGGAAACACTGTAACCAAGGCAAATTATAGAAGGAAGCATTTAACTGGAGCTTACAGTTCCAGAGGGATAGGAGTCCACCACTTTGTCATGGCAAGGAGCGTGGCAGTCCGTAGGAAGGCGTGGTGCTGGAACAGCAGCTGAGAGCTCACATCCTGACACATGAACAGGAAGCAGAGAGAGTGCATTTGGGATGATAGGGGATCTCCCGCCTCCCCCCACTGCCGTGTGTGTGTGTGTGTGTGTGTGTGTGTGTGTGTGTGTGTGTGTGTGTGTGTGTGTGTTGTAAAGGGATTTATTACAATGGCTTACAGGCTGTGGTCCAACTAGTCCAACAATGGTTGTTTACCAATGGAAGGTCCAAGAATCCAGTAGTTTTCCAGTCCACAAGGCTGGATGTATGAGCTGGTCTTCGGTATACACCAGAATCCTGAAGAAGTAGGCTCTAATGCCAGTGAAGTAATAGACTTTATCGAGAGCAAGCAGACAAGCAAAAAGAGAAGCAAGCTTCCTTCTCTGTCCTTTATATAGGCTGCCAGCGGGAGGTGTGCCCAGATTAAAGGTGGATCTTCCCGCTTCAAATAATTTAATTGAGAAGAAAATAATCCCTCATATATGTACCTAGCTATTTGGGTTTTAGTTAATTCCAGATGTAGTGAAGTTGATAACCAAGAATAGCCATCACACCTGGGCTACATAGTGAGTTCCAAGCCAGCCTGGATTAGAGAGTAAGACCCTGTCTCAGAAAGGAAAGACAGAGGAGGAGGAAGGGAAAGAGAAAGAATTTATTTTATTTGTGTGAGTGTTTTGCCTGCCTGTATGACCATGCACCATGTGTGTGTCTGGTACCCATGAAGGCCAGAAGAAGGTGTTGGATCCCTGGAACTGGAATTAGAGCTGGTTGTGAGCTGCCATGTGGGTCCTGAGACTTGAACCCAGATCCTGGGAGAGCAGCTAGTGCTCTTAACTTCTGAGCCCTCTCTCCAGCCCCCTTTCTGAACTCTTATTCTTGCCATCCTCTCTCTAGTAGCATCCCTAGGTTTATTTCCTCTGCCTTTTACTCTTCATGTCACCTCACTGGTTTACAACGTACTTTTCCAAAAGTGTCCTGATGGTTCTTCAGCCACTTCTCCCTGGCCATGGTCCAAGGCAACATAGCTATGTGATTCTGCTTCGAGAAGTGTACATTTAAAGAAAATAATGGACCCAGCACTCAGACATGTGGATCCTGGTCTACACAGAGAAACCTTGTCTTTGGGGGGAAAAAAAGAAAGTAATAATGGAAATAAGAATTCACTGTTATTGGTTTCTATATCTGTGCTTCTTAGACTATATATTGTGTAAGGTTCCCCCTCCCCCCCTTGGGGTTTTTGGTTTTTGGTTTTTGGTGTTTTTTTTTTTTTAGGTTTTTCGAGACAGGGTTTCTCTGTGTAGCTTTGCGCCTTTCCTGGATCTCGCTCTGTAGACCAGGCTGGCCTCGAACTTATAGAGATCCGCCTGCCTCTGCCTCCCGAGTGCTGGGATTAAAGGCGTGTGCCACCACCGCCCGGCTTGTTTTGTTTTTTTTGAGACAGGGTTTCACTATGTAGGCCTGGCTGCCCTGGAACTCACTTTTTAGACCAGTATCTGTCTCCGAATGCTGGGACTAAAGGCATGGGCCACCACCACCCAGCTGTCCCTTTCTTTTATTTAAAAATTTTTTTTTTTTTAAATTATGTGTACACTCTAGTATCATGTGGAGTATGTGTGCATGAGTACAGATCCATGGAGGCCAGAAAAGGGTGTTGAATCCCCTGGAATAGAAGTTCCAGACAGGCCCGTTGGCGGTGGCACACACCTTTAGTCCCAGCACTCGGGAGGCAGAGGCAGGCAGATCTCTGTGAGTTCGAGACCAGCCTGGGCTACAGAGGGAGATCCAGGATAGGTACCAAAACTACACAGAGAAACCCTGTTGTGGAAAAACAAAAAATAAGGTACAGGCAGATGTGAGTGCTGGGAACTGAACTCAGGTCCTCCTTAAGAGCAGTACAAGCTCTTATACTGAGCCATCTTTCCAGCCCCCTTATTGGTGTTATTGGGACATGATGGGAACAATCTCAGATAGAACTAATTTGAAGAAATAGTCTATCTACTGGGGCATGTCTTTATTCGTTATATCTTGTTCGTGGTTCTTTCCCTCTCCCTGTATTGTCTGCCTGCTGTTCCATACATTCCTGTTGCCTTGATATTGCCGCCTTGCTTCTGGCTCAAAACACTGGAGCCAGCCGGGAACTGAAATTGTGAGCTAAAACATTTGCTCCTTTTGAGCTGTTTCTCTTAGGTATTTGTCACAGTGACAAAAGGTCTGATTTACACAATCCCCAAAAGCCATGTTGGTCCAAGTTTAGTTTAGGCTGACCACATTGCAAGTGCTCAATGGCTGCTCCAGTTGTATTGGATAGTACAATTCTTACAACGTAATTCTCAAAGTGAAGCTTATGGGTTAGCAACAACAGCGTCCTATAAAAGCTTGCTAGTCTCAGCCCTCTCCTGAATCTACTGAATAAAGCATTTAAAATAAAGAATTTAAAATGAAGGAAATCTATGTTAAAAGACTTGGCTGGGGCTGGAGAGGTGGCTCAGTGGTTTAGAGCACTGACTGCTCTTCCAGAGGTCCTGAGTTCAATTCCCAGCAACCACATGGTGACTCACAACCATCTGTAATGAGATCTGGCACCCTCTTCTGGCCTGCAGATATACATGCAGACAGAACACTGTATACATAATAATAAATAAATTAAAAAAAAAAAGCCTTGGCCATGTGCTACATTTGTCTTCGGGCTCACTATTACCAATGACTTCTCATCTCCTTTAGTCTTTGTTGATTCTTTTTAATATCAATATCTGCTTTTTACTTCTATTCAACTTCTCTTCATAATATCATGTCCTTTAAAACAGCAAGGATTTTATTTTGCTTTTGCACTGAATCTCTTACATCTGGAGTTAGTTGTACCAGATGTGTAATGATTATTAGTTGTATGCATGAGTCACTTCCTTTAATTATGACCACTGCATCTCTACTGCTAGTCCACGATCCGTTTGGGTTCATTTCTGCTGTGATGTGTGAGAAACTTTTGCCAGGAGGTGGTGGCACACGCCTTTAATCCCAGCACTCAGGGAGACAGGCAGGTGGATCTGAGTTCAAGGCCAGCCTGGTCTACAGAGTGAGTTCCAGGACCTCAAGGACTAAACAGAGAAACCCTGTCTTGGAAAACCAAAAAAGTAAAAAAGTGTCACTTTTGAACTTGGGAAATGGCTCATTTGGCAAAGTGACATGTAAAACTGAGGTCTTTATATCCTAAGGATCCAAAAGCTAAGCATGACTGTATTGCACCTGTAATCCCAGTGCTGGGCAGGTGAGACAGGAAGATAACCTGGGGATTGCTGGCCAGCCAGTATAGCCAAATCAACAAAAAAATAGAGTAGAGAACGATTTTAGTAAGAGACCCAACAACTACCTCTGGCCTTCTCGCGTGCGCGCGCGCGCACACACACGTACCCACCAAGGTGTCTAGCTTCATTTTATATATGGGTATCCAGTTGTTTTGGTGCCCTTAAAAAAGTTGAACTATTCTGTTTCTACGTAATAGTCTTGGTGTAGGTGTTAGAGTAAATAGATGCTCTGTGTGGATGTGGGTGTGTTTCCAGACTCTCAATCTAGTCTACTGACGTATGTGTCTGTCCTGCCAGAACCACATTCTCTTTTTTGTTGTTGTTGTTTTGTTTTGTTGGTTTGGGGTTTTGGTTTGGTTTTTTGAGACAGGTTTTCTCTGTGTAGCCCTGGCTATCCTAAAACTCACTCTGTAGACCAGGCTGGCACTGGACTCATAGATTCACATACCTCTGCCTCTTGGGTACTAGGATTAAAGGTGTGCCACCATACCTAGCTTCAGAACCATATTATCTTAATTACTGTTATTTTGTAGTGAATCACCTGAGATTTTGTTTATTTAATCCCAGGGAGCAAACCTGGGGCTTGTGCATCCTGGGCAAGCACTCCATTACTGAGATATATGTGTGTGTGTATGTGTGTGTGTGTGTGTGTATCCCAGACCCTAGGTGGTGAGCTTTTAAACTGATACAACCATTTCATACTAACTACTTAAGCATTTATATCTGATTATGCAGCATGAAATAATTATGAATATATCATTAAATGTGCTGCATTAATTTTTTAATGTTTTATTTGATCATAACAGTAAGTCATATGCAGGTAAGTTCAGTTTTCATAGGTCATTTCTTATGTGGTTTGATTTTTCTGCTTATGCAGCATCTAAAAATAATTACTGAAAAATCATTGTAATTTACCTATCATTACCCTTTATATGACTCTTAAGGGTAATTATGAAATTATCTTCATGGCTGTTGCTTTGGGGTTGTTCTTTCTGCAAAAGAAAATAAATTTTTTTTCCTTTCTTTCTAATTTATAGATTTTGTATGCTGAAACTTCTTAACCAGAAGAAAGGGCCTTCACAATGTCCTTTGTGTAAGAATGAGATAACCAAAAGGTATATAATTTGTGTAATCATGGGAGATTGGAAGGAACAATGGCATGGGAAAAAGTAGAAATTCATATGTAGGTAATGTTCTTGTAAAACCATTCATCAACAGAAAAATAGACAAAAATGTGTTTGGGGGCTGGAGGTGTGGCTCAGTTGGTAGAGTGCTTGCCTGGTCGGCACAAGGCCTCCGAGTTCAGATGACACTACCGCATAAACCAGGCATCTTGCAAGTGAGACAGCTGAGCAGGTAAAGGCGATATCAGGCCTGATGACCTGAATTTGGTTCCCAAGACCAATGTGATGGAAGGCGAGAACTGACTTTGCAACTTGTCCTCTGGCCTCCAAACATGAACTGTGGTATATATATATTCTTTCTCTAATTAATCAATTAGTTAGCTAGTAAATTAATCAATTGATTTTTTTTTTTTTAATTTAAGAATAAGGGCTAGAAAGTTGGCTCAGAGGTTAAAGGCATTTGTAGCTTACAGCTGTCTATAACTCAGGTCCCAGGAGAATCTTCTGACCTGTGGGCACCAGGCATGTACATGTTGCACACACATGTAGGCAGGCAAGACAGTCTTACACACAAAATAATAAAATAAAAGCAGTTGTGGTTTCGTGTGCCTGTAACAGCAGCCCTCAGGAGGTAGAGGATCAGCTTGTGAAGGTTATCCTTGAGTACATAGTGTGTGGGAGGCCAGCCTGGACTGTATGAGACCCTGTTTCAAAAAAAAAAGTGTTTAGCAGACAGATTATTTCTAAAATTTCCTTGGACATTTTATGGGACATCTGCTATTAACAAGTATTAGCAACTTAACTTAGTTCCTTGTTTTCCCTCCCACATGCTAACTGGCCCCCATCCTGCTTAACTTCCAACACTAAATGAGATCAGGAGCACTTGGCTGGTGTGGCCATAGATGACATATTGTCTTTTCCTACTATTCTGAAAAAACAGAAGAACTCAACAGTCTATCTCAGATGGAGCTGCGCTATGTATATCATACATCTCTCCTACCACAGTTAGTTCTATTAGGGCAATGCCTTTATCTCTTTTACTAATACTGTTGTTTCTCCAGTGTTTAGTACATAGTAGGCAGTCAGATATTTAAAGGAGGAACTAGTTATGTTCTACCTAAGCCTAAATCTCTTTGGATTTTGGTGTCTTTTTGATGGAAATCTGAGAAGCAGAGCTAGCAGTGAGGGGTTGGGTTGGGTTGGATTGGGATGTTAAGAATAGTGATTCTTTCTGCTGTTGATATATCTACTCTGTATTTGGGGTAGAATTTTGTGGCAGGGGCAGGTTAAGACAAGGTCGTCTCTCTTTGGCCTTGAAATTACTATGGCTAGCCTCAAATTACAGATCCTCCTGCCTCAGTTAGTGAGCTACTCTGCCCGGTTTTTTGTTTTGTTTGAAACTGTCAAGTAGTCCAGATTGGCCTTGAGCTGACCCCTCTGTCTCTGCCTCTCAAGTGCTGGGATCACAGGCATGCACAACCATGCCTAGCTCAGGATACTTATGTTAGGCAATTTTAGGCTTTGGTGGACTATGAGTCACCAAGATATTTTTAAAATCAGTATAGACAAAAAGAGAATGAACACACACACACACACACACACATACACACACACACACACACACACACACACACACACACACACACACACACGTCAAAGCAAAGTAAGTGTACCCATGAGGTTTTTTTCCCCCCAGTGATTCAGTGATTATAATGTGATGCTGCTGGTAGGTCTGCATTTGTTTTTACTGTGCTGGAGATCAAATGAATAGTTCTTTGAGTTTGTGCTTTCTGCTATGTTTACAGTAGGAAATCTGTGTTTATATGTCTTTATGTTAGTGTGCTTAAAATTAATATTCATGTATGTGCTTCTCAAAAAAATTAATTTCAGGAGCCTGCAAGGAAGTACAAGGTTTGGTCAACTTGTTGAAGAGCTGCTGAAAATGACTGATGCTTTTGAGCTTGACACAGGAATGCAGTGTAAGTGCCGCATGGCCCCAGAGGCAATTCTCAAGGGGCTGGCTGGAAAACTTGAGAAGTTTTTCAAGCTGTTTTATGTGAATAGCTAATAAGACTTCAGTCTGATTAAAAGTTAAATCTGTGCCTGGAATTATGTTTTATTTATTGCAGGGAGCATGGGTTGGGGCAGGTGTGTCTGTATTTGTGTGGAGCCCAGAGGTCATCTTCAAGCATTGTTCCTCAGGAGCCATCCCCATCAGTTTTTGAGACAAGGTTTCTCACTGGTACATGGTGCTTGCCAATTAGGCTGGGCTGACTGGCCAGGGAACCCCAGGGATCCCTTGTGTGCCTTCCCTGGGTCCAGCTTTTTGTTCTAGAGATTTCAGCTGTGATGTTAAGTCATTGGTATGAGATTTCTCCAACTTCTTTATGTGAGCATTAGTGCTATGAATTTTCCTCTTAGCACTGCTTTAATAGTGTCCCATAAGTTTGGGTATGTTGTACTTTCATTTTCATTGAATCCTAGGAAATCTTTAATTTCTTTATTTCTTCCTTGACCCATTGGTGCTTCAGGTGGGCATTATTCAGTTTCCATGAGATTGTAGGCTTTCTATAGTTTTTGTTGTTGTTGAACTCTAACTTTAAAGCATGGTGGTCCGATACGATACAGGAGGTAATTTCAATGTTTTTGTATCTGTTGAGATTTGCTTTGTGACCAAGCATGTGGTCAATTTTTGAGAAGTTCCACGGGGTGCTGAGAAGAAGGTATATTCTTTTGTGTTAGGGTAGAATGTTCTGTAGATATCTATTAAGTCCATTTGAGCCATAACATCTGTTAGGTCCTTTATTTCTCTGTTAAGTTTCAGTCTGGTAGAGCTGTCCTTTGAGAGTGGTTGTTGAAATCTCCCACTACTAGTGTGTGATTTAAGCTTTCGTAATGTTTCTTTTACAAATGTGGGTGCCTTTGTATTTGGGGCATAAATGTTCAGTATTGAGACTTCATCTTGGTGGATTTTCCCTGTAATAAATATGTAATGTCCTTCCCGATCTCTTTCAGTTGATTTTAGTTTGAAGTCTATTTTATTAGATATTAGAGAGCTACACCAGCTTGCTTCTTAAGTCCATTTGATTGGAAAGCCTTTTCCCAGCCTTTTACTCTGAGGTAATGTCTGTCTTTGAAGTTGAGGTGAGTTTCTTGTATGCAGCAGAAGGATGGATCCTGTTTTCTTATCCATTCTGTTAGCCTGTGTCTTTTTATAGGTGAGTTGAGACCATTGATATTGATGGATATTAATGACCAGTGATTGTTAATTCCTGTTATTTTTTTGGTGGTAGTGTTGTGTTTCCATTCTTTGGTATTTGTTCGTACGGGATTATCTATTGCCTGAGTTTTCATGGGTGTGTTTAATTTCCTTAGGTTGGATTTTTCCTTCTATTGCTTTCTGTAGGGCCGGATTTGTGGATAGGTATTGTTTAAATCTGGTTTTATCGTGGAATATTTTGTTTACTCCATCTATGGTGATTGAGAGTTTTGCTGGGTATAATAGTCTGGGTTGGCATCCGTTCTTTTTTTTTTTTTTTAAAGATTTATTTATTTATTTATTATGTATAGGGTTCTGTGTGCATATACACCTGCAGGCTAGAAGAGGGCACCAGATTTCATTACAGATGGTTGTGAGCCACTATGTGGTTGCTGAGAATTGAACTCAGGGCCTCTGGAAGAGCAGCCAATGTTCTTAACCGCTGAGCCATCTCTCCAGCCCGGCATCCGTTGTTCTTAGTGTCTGCATAACGTTTGTCCAGGACCTTCTAGCTTTCATAGTCTCTATTGAGAAGTCTGGTGTTATTTTGATGGGTCTGCCTTAATATGTTACTTGGCCTTTTTCCTTTGCAGCTCTTAATATTTTTTCTTTGTTCTGTATATTTAGTGTTTTGGTTATTATGTGGCGAGGATTTTTTTTTTTTTTTTTTTTTTTGGATCCAGCCTATTTGGTATTCTGTAAGCTTCTTGTATCTTCATAGGTATTTCTTTCTTTAGGTTAGGATAGTTTTCTTCTATGATTTTGTTGAATAAATTTTCTATGCCTTTGAGTTGGTATTCTTCTCCTTCTTCTATCTTCTATTATTCTTAGGTTTGGTCTTTTCATGGTGTCCCAAATTTCTTGGACGTTTTATGTTACGACTTTTTTGGCTTTAGTGTTTTCTTTGACTGATGAATCTATTTTCTCTATTGTGTTTTCGACATCAGAGATTCCCTGTTCCATCTCTTGCGTTTGGTTGGTTATGTTTGAGTCTGTAGTTCCTGTTCGTTTAGTCAGATTTTCTATTTCCAGCATTCCCTCAGTTTGTGTCTTCTTTATTGTCTCGGTTTCAATTTTCAAATCTTGAACTGTTTCCTTCATCTGTTTAATTACTTTTTCTTGGCTTTTTTTGATTTCTTCCTATTTTTTGTTTGTTTTTTCTTCCGTTTCTTTAAGGGAATTTTTTATTTCCTCTTTTTTTTTTTTTTTTTTTTTTTTTTGGTTTTTCGAGACAGGGTTTCTCTGTGTAGCTTTGCGCCTTTCCTGGATCTCGCACTGTAGACCAGGCTGGCCTCAAACTCACAGAGATCCGCCTGGCTCTGCCTCCCGAGTGCTGGGATTAAAGGCGTGCGCCACCACCGCCCGGCCAAAATTCTTTTTTTTTTTTTTAGTTTTTCGAGACAGGGTTTCTCTGTGTAGCTTTGCGCCTTTTCCTGGAACTCACTTGGTAGCCCAGGCTGGCCTCGAACTCACAGAGATCCACCTGGCTCTGCCTCCCGAGTGCTGGGATTAAAGGCGTGCGCCACCACCGCCCTTTTATTTCCTCTTTAAGGGAGTTTTTATTTCCTCTTTAAGGGCCTCTCTCATTTTCTTAAAGTCATTTTTAGGATTGATTTCTTCTGCATTGGTATGCTCAGGTCTTGCAGGTATAGAATCACTAGATTCTGATGGTGTCATATAGGTCTTTATGTTGTTGCCTGTATTTTTGCACTGGCGTCTACTCATCTCTTCCTCTGCTCAATGCAGGCCATGTCTGTGTCTGAAGGTGCCTCTCTTGTTCTAATTGATAGTCTTGGTCCACTAGGAGTTCTTGGTTAAATCAGTGCTGTTGGGCTTTGTTTTTCCGGGAGCAGCTTAGTCCAACCAGTGTTAGTGGGTTCTGTCTCAGGGAGCTTCAGTGGTTGTTGGTGTCCCATGGGATGGTTTTCTTGGTGAGGGAGCAGGGAAAGAGGCCACTGTCTAGTCCCTGGGGCTCCAATGGCTGTTCCCAGTTGGTGTAGGGTGGACTTATGACTCCAGTGGTTGTCGGGTTTGCAGGAGCTCGGTTTTTTTGTTTTTTGTTTTTTTGGGTTTTTTTTTTTTTTTTTTTTTTTTTTTTTTTTGGCGAGGGAGCAGGGAAATGTAGCTGCCTGGTCCCTGGGGCTTCAATGGCTGGGCCTAGGGGCTAGCGACCTAGTCTGCTGGTCCAGAGATGGGGCCTTACCTGTTCCCAGTCGGTGTAGGGTGGGCTTATGAGGCTGGTGATCTGGTTCGGTGCCTGGACGGCTCCTTCTCTAGCGTTCTTGGGTCTCGTTTTGCTCGCTCGCCAACTCCCCAGCTGATTGTGTTTCCTCAGACTACAGGCTGCCTGCTTCTGAAACCTCTCCCAAATGGATCTCAGCTGAGCAGGTTGATCAGTAGGGCAATCTCACCAACACCTCCAAGTTGTTGGGCTTCGCAGGATCAGCAGCTGGGCCCCGGGTCGGCCTCGGGCAGAGTGCTCCGTCTGTTCTGGTTGTGTCCCACGGAGACTGTTCCTTCCCCTGAGTGCTGGGATTAAAGGCATAGGCCACCACACCACACCCAGTCTTAAGATGTATATTTTAATTGTCTGTGTGTTCAGGGGTGTGTGTGTGTATGTGATTTATTTTCATCTTTTTTAGTTATGTGTATATGCCTGTAGTGGGTTTTTGTGTAGAATGAGTCTTAAAAGGTCTTATTAATAAAAACAAACCCGGAGCTAGGTATTGGGGTGAACGCCGAAAAATCAGAGAAACAGAACAAGCCACAGCTAACCTCACCTCGCCAGTTCCTCAGCTGATCTTGTTTCCTCCAACTGGAAGCCTTTGTGTCCTCATCTGAACTGCTGCTAAAAGCCTGAAAGCTTAATCGGGTCCAGCTTTTTATGTGAGTGCTGAGAATCAAGCTCAAGTCCTCATCAGTGCAGCAAGTGCTACTGAGCTCTTTCCCCAGCCTCTTTAATCTCTATATATTTTAAAATTAAATTTTATTTCATGTATATGGGAGTTTTGCCTGCATGTATGTGCTGGCTACTTTTATGTCAACTTGACATAAGCTAGAGTCATCTAAGAGAAGGGAACCTCAATTGAGAAAATATTTCCATAAAATTGGGCTGTAAGCAAGCCTATAGGACATTTCCTTAATTGGTAACTGATGTAGGAGGGTCCAGCACACTGTGAGTGAGTCACCCCTGAGCTGGTGATCCTGGGTTCTACAAGAAAGCAAGCTGAGCCAGCCATGATGAGCAAGCCAGTTAGCAGCACTCCCTGTGGCCTCTGCATCAGCTCTGGATTCCTGCCCTGCTTGAGGTCCTGCCCTCACTGCTTTTGATGGCGATGTGTGTCAGTGGACCATGTGTGTGTGTGCTGCCGGCAGACTCCAGGAGGAGCTGGACCCCCATCCCCTGGAATTTGTTATGATGGGTTTGAGCCACCATGTGGATGCTGGGGATCAAACCTGGATCCTCTGGAATAGCAGCCAGTGCTCATATAACTACTGAGCCTTCTCTGTAGCCCTAAATTTTTTTAAGTTACATTTGTTTGTGTGTATGGAGGGGTGTGGTTCAGGCATGCCACAGTATGTATGTGCAAATCAAGAAAGCTTTTGGGAGTTACTTGTATCCTTCCCCTATGTGGGTCGCGGGGATTGAGCTCAGATCTTCAGGGTTGGTGCTAACTGCCTTTACTCAATGGCCTTAATTTTTAAAGTTTTTATTATTTGTAGTAGTATGTTTGAATGCAGACATGCATTCCCTAGGGCACACATTTGGAGATCAGAGGACAACTTTAGGGTTAATTTTTCTCCTACCTTTACATGGTGTTAAACCTGACAATTGTGAGGAGGAGAAAGACCAAATCCACAACTGGCTAATTAAAGCAAGCTTTATTTAATACTGTCCAGGACTGTGGACACTGGCCTGGGCCAGGTCCATATACGAGATTCCCAGACAGTGGCGCTGAATTAGGTTAGTTGGGTGTTTATAAAGGCAGAACCCACAAGGCTATCTATCCTGCCTTCGTCCAATGGGCAAGCACACATCCTGGCACACTTCCTGCCTACATGCCTCCTACCTACATGTGATCAAGCACATCCTGTGCATTTGGGGCAAACAACCTTGTTTACTGAAGTGAAAACCCGTGGCTTGCTATCTTACATGAACAACAGCCCCCAGCATTCCAGGAAGTTATTTGTCCTTGGGCAAGTAGGACTTACAGGTTAACACATGGGTTGGGGTCAAACTCGGGTCATAAGGCTTTACACAAGCATTTGTACCTGCTGAGCCATCTGCCAGCCTGTGTCTTAAACCACTCCTATCGGTCTCACGTCTTAGTCTTCGTTCCTAAAATGTATTTTATTTCTTTTTTGTTTGTTTGTTTGTTTTGGTTTTGGTTTTGGTTTTTTGAGACAGGGTTTCTCTGTGTAGCTTTGCGCCTTTCCTGGATCTCACTCTGTAGCCCAGGCTGGCCTCAAACTCACAGAGATCCACCTGCCTCTGCCTCCGGAGAGCTGGGATCAAAGGCATGTGCCACCACCGCCCGGTTAAAATGTATATCTTAATGTCTCTGAAATTGGAGCGTTTTATCAATTATATGCCATTGCTTAACGTTTCCTTTCTTAGTGGTACAAACTAAGTACCACGTAGTGGTGCATTGTTACTCCTTAAATTAAGAGAAATAACGATAAACTTGTTAATGGGCAAATTTATTAATTTTTAGGTGTGTGTGGGGAATAAAAATAACTTGGATAGTCTCTAAATTTCTAAACTGGACTTTAAAATTTTTTTTTAGGTAATCAAAGCAGCAGATATGGCTCAACAGTTAAGGATGCTTAACTCTTCTTACAGAGGACCTAGGTTCAGATTTCATCAATGACAGCAGGTGGCTTACAACTCTAGGGGACCCAGTGCTCTCTGACTTCTTCAGGCACCTACACCCACAAGCTTCATGAATTCATGCATGCATACACACATACACATAAACTGAAAAATACATTAGAAATTAAAGGTAGACAGACATGCTGACATACACCTTAAATCTTAGCACTCAGAAGGCAGAGGCAGGTGGATCTCTGAGATCAAATTCCAGACAAAATGAGGCCTAGACAGAACCTGCCTCAAACAAACAAACAAACAAAAAACAACACAATTAAATGTATCCGTAATGAATTACTCTTTTTTGTTTGGTTTTTCAAGACAGGGTTTCTCTGTGTAGTCTTGACTGTCCTGGAACTCAGAGAGCCTCCTGTGTCTGCCGCTCCCGTGCTGGGATCAAGGGCGTGCGCTGCCACCTCCACCAGGCTGGTTTGGTGGTTGTTGTTTGCGTTATCCTCATACAGCAGGGAGCAGTCTGGGTATTTAATGAAGATTAATATCTTTTCCTCTAACTAAAACATGTTCTTTATGTTTTAAAGTCGCAAACAGTTACAGTTTTTCAAAAATGAAAAATTCTTCTGAACCTTTGAATGAGGAGGCTTCTATCATCCAGAGTGTAGGCTACCGAGACCGTGCCAAAAGACTTCGACAGACTGAATCTGGAAATGCTACCTTGGTAAAGCTGTTTTCCGTTTTTTCTGGCATCTGTTTATTAAGTGTTAGCATTGTGAATGAGTGGATTTATTTGAAAACTTAGGAAAGAGAGGATGATGGTAAACAAGTGGCTGGACAAGTGTTCTAATAAGGAAGAGTTACAGACTGAGAAGTTCGGGGTACCTGTTGGGATCAAGAGACACCGTATAGACCCTCCCGTTTTATAACTTCATCAGCTCTGGTGCTTGGATGAAACAGATACAGTATCACTGATCTTTTGGAAGCATTTGAAAATTACTTCCACTTGACCACTGTAATTACCAAAGAAAATGTAATGACGTCTTCTGTACATCCATATGTGCTGGATGGCAGAGATCACAGAATACACCTTACTAAGTGTTCCTAGGAATGCTGGGGTTTTAAAAATGTTTTTATTTAAATAGTCTAGATTTGTTTATTTATTTATTTATTTATTTATTGGTGTTTTTGGGACAGGGTTTCTCTGTCTCTGGTCGTAGCCCTGGCTGGTCTCGAACTCACAGAGATCCGCCTACCTCTACTTCCAGAGTGCTGGGATTAAAGGTGAGTGCCATCACTGCCCAGCTAGATTTATTTTCCATCTTTAATTAATGTGTGTGGCTGTGTGAAGTTTATACATATGAATGCAGGTGCTTTGGGTCCTCTGCAAGAGCAGCCTGTGTTCTTAACCAATGAGCCATCTCTCTAGTAACCTGTTTTATTTTTTAAATCAGTATATAATGTGTTTGAGAACACTATGACATTTTCTTTCCCTTTTTTTTGGTTTTTCGAGACAGGGTTTCTCTGTGTAGCTTTGCGCCTTTCCTGGATCTCGCTCTATAGACCAGGCTGGCCTCGAACTCACAGAGATCCACCTGCCTCTGCCTCCCGAGTGCTTGGATTAAAGGCATGTGCCACCACCCGCCCGGCCACTATGACATTTTCAAACAAAGTGTGTTTTCATGGTTCTTTCCCTTGACTCCCAACCTTGCTACCTCTGTTCCTCCTTCATAGCCTCTCCCTCAGACTCTTCCTTTTATCATTTATCCCTTTTGAAAATATATTTTATGTTGCCAGTCTTATCAGATATGATTGGAAATACAGACTATCAGCTTCAAATTTCTCTATATTAATAATTAGGAAATACTCATGATTATAATTAGTTAGAAAAATAAAGCAAAAAAAATTTTCAAAATGTAAAACTTAAAGCATTCTTTACTGTTCAACAGAAGGACAGTCTCAGTGTCCAGCTGTCTAACCTTGGAATTGTGAGATCAATGAAGAAAACTCAGCAGACACTGCCTCGAAATAAATCTGTGTACATTGAATTAGGTAAGGGTCTTGCATTTTATTAAGTTCAAAATAATAATTGCTAGATTGTTTGGCTTATAGTTCTATCAAAAATCTTGGTTGTGATTTATATATGTTGTGTGGAGTTTTGGTAAATGAAAGTAAAATAATTTTATGGGCTCTATCATGAATTATCAATTATGTAAGTTACACTTCACACCTTGAAGAATCTTACTTTGTAAAACAAAAGGGAAGATGTTGGTTACGAACATAATTGAATTTTGGAAAAATGTAAAGTTATAATAAAGAAGAACATGGTTAGTTGCCATAGCATTTAGAGGGATCCAAGACAAACTGTACAAGCCCTGGACTCAATCCTCAGCTGGCCAAAAAGACAAAAGAAGTGAGCTTGGAGTTCCAAGAGGTCTCTTTACTATTTCTCTACACTTTGTGAGGGGGCCAGATCTGTCCTCCTAGCATTTGAGAGGCTGAACCAGAAGGATCCTGAGTTTGAAGACAGACTGGGATACTAGAGAATCCTATCTCAGAAATAAATCAGTAATCAAATTGGGAAGAATGGCTTTATTTTGAGTTCCCTGCACTACCATGGATCTCCATAATATTTATTGGATTTCTTTGAAATTAACTTTTATGTCTTCTAGTCATAATAAATCTATCAACAATGGTGTTGTTTTTTTGTAAAAATATTCCTGGGTGGTGATGAGATGGCTCAGTTGGTAAAGGCTCTTGCCACCAAGCTTGATAACCTAAATTCAGTCCCTAGACTCTACATAGTGGAAGGAGAGAACCAACTCTGATAAAGTTGTCCTCTAACATCTATACTATGTGTTAATAAAAGTAGTGCAAATCATGTCAGTTAATATTTAGGAGCACTTAACTGTATTTTAGGTGCTGTTGTATTTTTTTGTATACCTCATCTAAGATGCCAGTCCTGAGGTGGTTACTAATTTTACAGATGAGAAAATTAAGTCAGAGAGGTTAAGAATTTGGAGGTAGGGCTGGCAGTGGTAGTACACACCTTTAATCCCAGCACAGGCAGAGACAGGCAGATCTGTGAGTTCAAAGAAACCCTGTCTCAAAAAAAAAAAAAGGCATTTGGACATAGGGAGGTGGCTTTGGAGCCCATGCGTTGTGCCACTTCTCTGCATTGCCACATAACGGATCATGTTTATGTAATGTAACATGTTAATTATTTATATAAAATATACATTGTAAGTATTTCTGAATGAACCACTCCTTTGCAAGGAGCATTTTTTTAACCCTTTTAATTAAAAACCTTGAGTGATTTTTGGGTTTTGTTTTTTAAGAGTCTGATTCTTCTGAAGAGACAATTAAGAGGCCAGATGATTGCAGGTAAGTCACAAAGAGCCTTTTCATATCCAGTTAATATTGAGGGTCTTAGATTTAGGTCATGGTATTAGAAGAAACCTTAAGGATCATTTAGTTTCATCTGTCTATTTTATTTCCTGGGGAACATTTTTTGTTTGTTGTACATTTTTCTAATGCCAAAGGAGTTTTAGATAACAGTAGAAGTCAGCACATACTTGTTACCATCTGATGGTTATTCTTTGAGTTTCTCATATGTGGTAGTAATTATGGCTGATGAAATTACTAAAGCATCTATTTTGTTTGTTTGTTTATTTGGGGGCAAGATCTACGTAGCCCTGGCTGTCCTGAACTCACAGAGATCTATCTGCCGCCTCCTGAGTGATTAAAGGCATATACCACCACAGCTGGCCCAAAGAGCTTAATTTTATTTATAATCATCCAGTTTCCTTTCTTAAGATCTATGATCACTGGTTATTATCAGTAAATTTTTGTTTATAAATTACTTCTACCTAACCTTAAAATTGGAGGGGGTTGAAGCTAGAAGTATGGTTCAGTGCTAGAGGTTTTTTGGTTTTTTTGTTTTTTAATGCTGAACTGGGCTTGGTGGCATATGCCTTTAATCCCAGAACTCTTTTTTTGTTTGTTTGTTTTTTGTTTTTGTTTTTGTTTTTCGAGACAGGGTTTCTTCTTTGTGTAGCTCTAGAGCCTGTCCTGGAACTTGCACTGTAGACTAGACTGGCCTCAAACTCACAGAGATCTGCCTGCCTCTGCCTCCCAAGTGCTGGAATTAAAGGCATGTGCCACCACCATCCAGCTAATCCAGAACTCTTGTGAGGCAGAGGCAGGTGGATCTCTGTGAGTTTAAAGCCAGCCTGGTCTAGAGAGAGACCTTGTCTCAAAAAAAAAAAAAAAAAATTATGTGTGTGGGTATATTACCTGAACTTATGTTTGTGTGCCACATTTGTGCCTAGTGCCTGAAGAGGCTGGAAGAGTGAGTCCATTTCCCTGGAACTGGGATTACAGAAGTCTATGAGCCATTCTGTGGGTGCTAGGGATCGAACCTGGGTACTCTGGAAGCTCAACCAGTGCTCTTAACACTGAACCATTTCTTAGCAGGACGTTCCTTTAGTCCCAGCAGCACTCAGGAGGCAGAGACTGGCAGATCTCTGAGTTCAAGGCCAACCTGGTCTACAAAGTGAGTTCCAGGACAGCCAGGGCTACACAGAGAAACCCTGTCTGGAAACACAAAACAACAACAACAACAAAAAACCACTGAACCATTTCTTTATTACTCTAGGGTGTTGGAACATCCACTGGAGGGTGTGCTCAATCTCATCTTACAAGGGACCCTACACTCCTGAAGGAAACTAGCTCTCTCTCCCTCAGAATCTATGGACTGTCCATAGCTCCTTGGTTAGAGGCGTGGGCTTGTGAACCCCTCTTCTTTCTATGCTACAATGTTGACAGGCTTTGTACAGATGTTTGTGCAGATGGTGTGCAAACAGCCACAGTTGTGTCAGTTCCTGAGTGCAGTGGTCCTGCCATGCCCAGAAGACACTGTTTTGCTCTGCTCTTTCCAACCTCTGGCTCTTAGAATCTTTCTACCCCCTGTTCCCCAATGGTTCCTGAGCGTGCAAGTGTGTTCTTATTGCATATCCAGAAAGCAGTGTTGTACACTCGTCTGATCTTTGTGACTATTCTCAGTCTTTGACCATTCCATTTTTACTGGAAGGCACTTAAAAGGAGAGCAGATTTCAAAAGGTGAGCCAGTCTGCTCAGCTGTTAGGACCCTATCTAGAGGAGCTAAAATATTTGATCTTGCTCATTTGACAGGTTTGTGAGCATTCAAGTAGAATTTCTCATTAGGGGTTCTGTCTTTCCCTCCTTTAGTGTGAGAGACCAGGAATTGTTACAAATGACCCCTCAGGAAGCCGGAGATGAAGCCAGTTTGGATTCTGCAGAAAAGGGTAATGTCAAACCTTCCCAACTTAATGACACTAAAGAGAATGGGTAGATGAGTTCTGTAATTAAATTAATCTGAAGACCAGGTTCCAAATTTATTTATAATTTATAATTCACATTTATAATTCACAACATCGCTAAAGAATTGAAGTACCATTTTTTTCTCAGTTGCCATTGTGAGATAGTGAGTGGCACTAGACTGCTGTGATTATAGTAATAGTGAGTGTAGCTGCATGCTGCCACTTTACTTTTGCTTTTAAAGACAGTTCTACTATGTAACCCAGAGTAGTCTAACCATCCTTTTGTTGAAGCCACCCAAGTGCTGAGGTTATAGTCATATACCACCAGCCCTTGCTGTCCTTTCCTCTTGGTTGATATATTTCATTCTTGCTACCTGATTTTTGCTTCTTTTTGTTTTGACTGATTTAGAAACAAGTGTATTATGGCTCAGGCTGGCCTTGAACTATCAGCATTTTTTTTGCCTTAACCTTCTCAGTGATGGAATACCACACCTAGCTGTCAGCTAGTTTTTAAAAGTGGAGCATATGAGTCTGCAAACAGAACAGAAAAGTTAAGGTCTGTTGATCAAATAATCTGCTTTTTGTTCAATCTTAAGAGACTAGGGGAATAGATGATGTGATCGAATTATCCTGTTTAGGAAAATATTAGACTCTACATAATGGGGTTACACGAAAGAATATGAGCTAGATCTTTAGTATACTTGTAGTTTATGATGTTAGCTCCTCTAAAGCCAGTGGAACCTGGGTGATGGCAGTACACACCTTTGATCCCAGCACTCGGGAGGCAGAGGCAGGAGGATCTCTGTGAGTTCAAGGCCAGCCTGGTCTACATAGTGAGTTTCTGGACAGCTACACAGAGAAACCCTATTTCAGAAAACAAACAAACAAACAAAAAGCCAGTGGATTGGGGCTGGAGAGATGGCTCAGCAGTTAAGAGAATTTGTTGCTCTTAAGGAAGACCTGGGTTTGGTTCCCAGCACCAAAAGGGATCTGAAATCTTCTTCTGTCTTCTGTGAGCACCAGGCATGCCTGTGGTGCATATACGTACATGCCAGCAAAACATTTATACACTTAAAACTTTCTTTAATGTAAAATTTTGAAAAGTATGATTAGTGGATTGATTTCTACTCCCAAGTTGTATTAAGAATGTATTTTCTCATGATAATTCCATTTTTAAGTACCTTGTTATTTTGTATATTTCAGATACTTGTGAGTTTTCTGAGGACGTAACAGATATTGAACAGCATCAATGCAGTAATAAAGATTTGAACCCCATTGAGAATCATGCAACTGAAAGGCATCCAGAACAATGTCAGGGTATTTCTGTTTCAGACTTACATGTGGAGCCATGTGGCACGGATATTCATGCCAGCTCATTACAGCAGGAGAACAGCAGTTTATTACTCGCTGAAGACAGAATGAATGTAGAAAAGGCTGAATTCTGTAATAAAGGCAAACAGTCTGGCTTAGCAAGGAGCCAACAGAACAGATGGGCTGAGAGTAAAGAAACATGTAATGATAGGCAGATTCCCAGCACTGAGAAAAAGGTAGATCTGGATGCTGAGTCCCTCTCTAGGAGGAAGAAATGGAATAATCAGGAAAGTCTGTGCCCTGAGAATCCTAGAGCTACCCAAGATATTCCTTGGATAACACTAAATAGCAGCATTCAAAAAGTTAACGACTGGTTCTCCAAGACCGGTGGAACGTTAACTCCTGACGGCACTGCTGACAGGAGGCAGGAGGCAAATGCTGAAGCAGCTGCTGTGTTCGAAGTTTCAAATGGAGTAGATGGATGTTCCGGTTCTTTAAAGGAAATAGACTTGGTGGCCTCTGATCCCCATAATGCTTTAATGTGTAAGAGTGAAAGAGACTTCTCCAAACCGGTAGAGAATGATATCAAAGATAAAATATTTGGGAAGACATATCAGAGAAAGGGAAGCCTCCCTCACTTGAACCATGTAACTGAAATTCTAGGCACATATACTACAGAACCACAGATAACACAAGCGAACCCCTTCACAAATAAATTAAAACGTAAAAGGAGAACTACATGCCTTCAGCCTGAGGATTTTATCAAGAAAGAAGATTTAACAGTTATTCCAAAGACTCCTGAAAATACAAATCAGGGAACAGACCAAATGGAGCCGAATGGCCAAGTGGTGGGTATTACCAGAAATGGTCATGAGAATGAGACAAAAGGCAGTAATCTTCAGCAGGAGAGAAATGCTAATCCAGTAAGATCACTGGGAAAAGAGTCTGTTTTCACAACTAAAGCCAAAGCTATAAGCAACAGTGTAAGTGATTTGGAGCGAGAATTAAACATCCGCAATTCAAAAGCTCCGAAGAAAAATAGGCTGAGGAGGAAATCTTCCACCAAATGTGTTCTTGCACTTGAACCAGTCAGTGAGAATCCCAGCCCACCTGCTTGTACCGAATTTCAAATTGATAGTTGTAGTAGCAGTGAAGAAACAAAGAAAAACAATCCCGACCAAACGCCAGTCAGGCATATTAGAAAGCCTCAACTCACAGTGGACACGGAACCTGCAGCAGATGCCAAGAAGAATAATGAGCCAAATGAACAAATAAAGAAGAGAAGGGCCAGTGATGCTTTCCCAGAAGAGAAATTAACTAACATACCTGGTTTATTAAATAACTGTCCACGTTCTAATGAACCTCAAGGGCCTGTCAGTCCTAGCCCTCAGAGAAAAGAAGTAGAGAAACTTGAACTAAGCCAAAGGTCTGACAGTTCCAAAGACCTGAAGGATCTGGTGCTGGATGGAGAGCAAGGTTTGCCCACCGAGAGATCTGAGGAGAGCACCAGTGTGTCATTGGTCCCTGACACTGACGATGACATGCAGAACAGTGTGTCATTGCTGGAAGCTAACACTGCCAGATATGCAAAAACAGGAGCAAGTCAGTGTATGACTCAGTTTGTAGCAAGTGAAAACCCCAAGGAACTGGTCCACAGTTCTAAAGATGCTGGAAGTAGCACCGAGTGCTTCAGGCATCCACTGGGACACGGACTTAGCCACATTCAGGAGACAGAAATGGAAGAGAGTGAACTTGATACTCAGTATTTACAGAATACATTTCAAGTTCCAAAGCGTCAGTCATTTACTTTATTTTCCAAACCAAGAGATCCCCAAAAGGAGTGTGTAACAACCTGTGCTTCCTCCGTGTCCTTAAGGGAAGTGAGTGCAAAAGTGACTTCTGAAGGTGAACAAAAAGAAGAAAATCGGGGACATGAAGAGTCTGAAATCAGTTGTGGACAGGCAGTGACTGCCACAGTGAGCGTACCTCTCCTTCATCAGGAAGGTAAGCCTGGCACCGATCCAGTGCGTGCTGGAGTGTCCAGGCTTTGTCTGTCATCTCAGTACAGAAGCAATGAGAACAATCTCAGCACTGCGGGTGACCCCAGAATTCCACAAAACTCACGTCTTCAACAATCAGTTTCTCCCGTCATGTCCTCTATGAAGACTGACCATAGTAAAACTCTGTCAGAGGGACAATTTGAGAAACATACATTGTCAACTGAAAAGGCCATGGGAAATGAGACGGTTGTTCAAAGTAACATACACACAATTGGCCAAATCCACAGGAAAAGTGCTTGTCAAGAAGCCAGCTCGGGCAGTATTAATGAAGTATGTTCCAGTGGCGAAAACTTCCAAGGACAACTAGGCAGAAGCGGAGGGACTAAGTTAAACACTGTGCTTCCGTTAGGTCTTATGCAATCTGGAATCTGTAAGCGAAGTTTTCCTGTGAGTGAGTATAAAAATCTTGAAATAAAAAAGCAGGAAGGTAAGACTGTTGGTGCAGACTTCTCTCCGTGTCTGTTCTCAGATAAGCTCGAACAACCTATGGTGAGTGGTAATGTTTTTCAGGTTTGTTCTGAGACACCTGATGACCTGTTGGATGATGTTGAAATACAGGAAAACACTAGCTTCGGTGAAGGTGATATCCTGGAGAAGTCTGCTGTTTTTAATGGAAGTGTCCAGAGAAGAGAGCTGAGTAGGAGCCCTAGCCCTTTAACCCATGCATCGCTGATTCGGAGTCTCCGTAGAGGGTCTAGGAAATTAGAGTACTCAGAAGAGAGTGAATGTGAGGATGAAGATCTTCCCAGCTTCCAGCACTTGCTTGGCAGAGTAAGCAATACACCTGACCTTACCAGACAGAGCAATGTTGGGACACAGCGTCTGTCCGAGAAGGCAGCAGGGACCCAGGCGCCGTGGAAGTGCACCATCAGGGATGACAGTAACGAGGTGATCTTGGTAGAGGATTCTCAGGAACATCCCCTTGGTGAGGACCCAAAATGCTCTGGCAGCATGTTCTCCTCACAGCACAGTGCCGTACGAGATTCTGCTGCAAACGCAAGCTCCCAGGACCCCTTGTTTAACTCTCCCTCCAAACAGATGAGTCACCAGTCTGAGAACGAGCAGCTTTTCCTAAGTGACAAGGAGTTGATTTCAGATGAGGAAATGGGAGCTTGCCCAGAAGAAGACAGTGATCAAGAAGAGGATATTATAATCCCAGATTCAGGTAGTGGTGGTGGTGTTTGTGTGCGTCAGTCTACAGAAGTGAGCCGAGTGGTTACGCCTTTTGAGGATACACGAGTTTCCAAGTGCAGTCACATTAGCTGCTCCTTAAACTTGAAAGATGTTCTTCCCACAGTTCTTTTCCTTAAGTCAAAAGTCTGTCCTGGACCTGGAGAGATGGGTGGTTAAGAACAGGCACTCTTTGGTCGTGGTGGAGGGCCTGGGGAGATGGCTCAGCTCTTATAAGCACTGGCTGCTTCTCCCAGAGGACCCGAGCTCAATTCCCAGCTCCCACATGGCAGCTCAGAGTTTTCTGTCATTTCCATTCCAGGGGATTCAGCACCCTCGTATAGATATACATGCAGACAAAACACCAAAATATAAATAAATACATAAAAAGGGAAAAAAGAATAGGTACTCTGTTGCAATAAATCTAAGTTTGGTTCCCAGCATCCACCTCAGGTGACTAACTACCTGTAACTCTAGCTCCAGGGGGGGATCTAATGCCTCTGGCTTCCACAGGTACCTGCTGTGTTCACATATAAGTAACCCACACAGACACACAACATACACATAATTAAAAATCATAGAAATAAAATCTTTTTTTTTTAATGACTTCATGCAGCCAGAATGTCTGATAGGATGAACTTGAATGGCTTAATTGCTTCTAGTTTTTATTGTAGAATTTTTCTGATTTGTTTGTGTTTTTTTAAGACATGATCTCTCTATGTAGCCCTGGCTGGCTTGGAGCAGAGATCTGCCTGCCTTTGCTTCCCCAAATCTGGGATTAAATGCATTCCTCACCACACCCAACCTGTTGTAGGAATTCTGCCAGGAAATGAGCATCCTGAATTTGGTCATTTGTGTGACGTGAAAGTGAGACAAGTGCTGTGAAAAGGACGCGCAGTCAGACACTGCGGGCTGCAGAGCTCATGCGCTGCTCCACACGACTGGCTTCCCTGTCGTTTCAGGTGAAGCGGCTTCTGGGTATGAGAGTGAAACCAACCTTTCTGAAGATGGCTCCCAGAGTGAGATTTTAACCACTCAGGTAAGAAGCATTCGCAAGTTGGTGGTGTCCTTTGTATATGGTGGTATGAACCCTACATCTTATGCCTGCTAATGCCATCCCTGGATTAATGGCCTAACAGTTGTGCGTGATGCCTTGTAAACGCAAATGGGATTTTCTTTTTTAGAATTCCCTGGTGGAACTCGATACCTTTAATAGCTTTGATACCGTCTGACTCACTATAAAACACCGAATACTAACTTTAAGATTCCCCTCAACCCCCAGACAGGGTTTCTCGGTGTCGCCCTGACTGTCCTGGAACTCACTCTGTAGACCAGGCTGGCCTTGAACTCACAGCGATCCGCCTGCCTCTGCTGGGATTAAAAGCGTTCACCACTACCACCTGACTGAATAAGCTAGATCTTTAAAACCTACTTGCCCCATAGCAAAATTATATGAAAGCATTATTGTGTCAAAGGGGATATATTTATTCTCAGAACCAAATTGAAATGTACAGTACTGCCTTTCCACTGGAGACCATCTTACCTTTCACTGTGTTGTGGATATTTCCTTTTATTTTTGTCTTTTATAGTCTAGTTGCTTGTTGGTGATATGTCATCTTTTCCTCATTAGAGAAGAACGTACGTGGTATTAATTCCTGAACCTGGTAAGAGACTGGTGACTGGCAATGTTTGTAAGGGACAGCAGTTTTCTTAAATCTGTAGCATTCGGTTGTGTGAATGCTTTTGTCCCTGAGGCAGGACAGTCTCTCCGGAAGAGCATTATCTTTCTCACAGCCAGAACCTGGTGCTGTCACCTAGTTTTCCTTTTGTAAAAGTGACACCAAAATTTTCCAAAATACTATCCCAACCTTGGATTCATCTAAGTCTCTCTTTCCTGTGTTTATCTCTCACTAGCTGGGCCACTTCCTAGGGTTCCTCTGTGTCCCTGCACGGGTCCGATGCAGAGTACACAGCGGTTCTGGCATGAGACTGGTCAGAGGTCCCTGTACCTGACTGTATGGTTTCACTTGATTTGCTTATCTTCCTTGAATTGTGATCGTATATGGGTGTGTCTGCCACCAGGGTAAATGTGTGGAGGTCAGGTGATACCTTATGGAAGCTGTTCTGGGGATCAAATCAGGTCCTCACGTGTGGTGGCAGGTGCTTTTATGCTCTGGGCCACCTCACTGGTCCATCTGGTACACTGTTAAGATGGAGTTTTTTGGAACCTTTTGAATCATCCTGATGTAGCTTTGGCTCTCCTGAAGCATAAATGTGCTTTTAGCTGCCAGCATAGGAGTTATTTTTCTTCTCTTCCTAAAAAGTACTAAATTAAGTGAAACTGGGAATTCATAGTATTCCTAAAGTCATTCTTGTTGTCATCAAAAAAAGGAGCCAGGCATGGTAACACATCCCATTAGTCCCAGTACTCCAGAGGCAGAGGCAGGTGAATCTCTGTGAGTTCCAGGACATCCTGGTTTGTGTTGTGAGCTCCAGGCTAGCTAGGGCTGCAAAGTGAGGCCCTGTCTCAAAAAACAAACAAACAAACAAACAATCAAATAAATAAATAAATATTAAGTAATATTCTATATACTAATATTGTGATTTACCATTTATCGTGTAATTAAAATATGACAGTGACTTTTTTATCTTATTCTATTAATTGTGCTAGGAATTGTGTATTCTAGGCTAGCACTATACGATGGAGCTACCTCCCCAACCTCGATGACTATATTGGGAGTCAGGGGTGTTTTTATTTGTTAAGACAGCATCTTACTTCGTTATATCTAAGGCTGGCTTTGAACTTGAGGTCCTTCTGCCTCTGCATCTTGAATGCTGGAATTACAGGAGTTCACCATCACGTCTGGCGTCTTTTTAGTTACTGTATAGCTTTCTATTGTTTGAGTGTATAATGATTGATTTGCCCCTTTGCTGCCTATTAAGGTCTGGGCTAACAGGCACCATTGCTATTAGGCACAGCATTCTAATAGACATCCTGATTGCTAGATACCACATCTTGATGATTTTTGGTGTATGATACATAGTGTCCTACTATTCTTTTTTTTTTTTTTTTTTTTTTTTTTTTGGTTTTTCGAGACAGGGTTTCTCTGTGTAGCTTTGTGCCTTTTCCTGGAACTCACTTGGTAGTCCAGGCTGGCCTCGAACTCAGAGAGATCCGCCTGGCTCTGCCTCCCGAGTGCTGGGATTAAAGGCGTGCGCCACCACCGCCCGGCCTACTATTCTTTAGAAGGATTAAGCCAGCCTGTGCTTCTAGCTTCTGTAGTATTTGGAGTTCCCACTTTCCTGTACCTCTGCCAACACTAGGTGGTGTCCAGTTTTTAAGTCTTTCAAACTCTTGGCATTGCTGTGAAGATGACAAGGAGAGAGGACTTGGCTCCTACAGACCGTTCTCTGTTCAGAGTAAATCCTAGGCCTGAAGCCTGTGGGAGTTGGGAGGAAACCATTGAGGCAACTGTCCATTGTGTGCCTTGTTTATCACTCAAATTCTCTACTTTTGCAAGATTGCCATAGTGATCAGAAAGATTAAAAGACTTTAGAGGTCTTCTCTCTATGTTCAATTCCTCTGATCCTTTCTGGATGTAGATCTGGGGCTCTATCAATATGTCTGTCACCTAATTCTGTCCCTTGGCTGTTTGTTTTTTAGGTTCCAGCTTTTTATTCCGTCTGTCTTAGACATACTGCATTGTATTTGACATTCAATAAACTACTTCGTTGTTTCTTGTATCTCTGATCTTATTCCCAGAAATATGTTTAAAGTGTTTTTATCAAGTATCTATTCAAAACAGGTAACTTTAATCTGGACTAGTACAAACAAGCAAAATGACTGAAATGGGACCTTTCCCCTCTGTTTATATAGAGCTGAGGAGTAATAGATGATAGATGATACCTAATCTGGTATCATTAATATACCTTTTTGATGCTTATTGTGTGCATGTGTATGCATATTCCACGGCAGGCAGGTGAAAATGTAAGATTGTAAGACCCACCATGTGGGTCCCAGGGATGGAACTCAAGTCATTAGGCTTGGTGGCAGGTACCTCTACCCACTGAGCCATCTTGCCAGCCTTCCTACCCCCAGAGACTAATTCATCCATTTATTCATTTCTGCATTATATCTTTGCTAAGAACTTACTCTCTGCTAGATAGTTGCACACCTTGTATACCCATAACCTTGGCATTCCCGGCCCGAGGAAAGCTTAGGAAGGAGAATCTCAAGTTTCAAGTTAGCGTGAGATACATAGGCCTGTCTTAAAAACAAAACAATAAACAAGGGAAGAAGATTCCTCTCATCCAGGAAGTTGTGTGTTCCCCTGAGAATACTGATGCATTGGCAGCCTGAGTCAAGTCGTGAGGCATACTGTTGACCTGATAGACAGTTGGTGGGGACGCCCAGTGAAGACTTCTAAGCTGGGCTTTGAAAGATGAGAAGAGTTTACCAAGTGGGAAAAGAGGGGCGGCAGCAACTGAGGCAAAGAGAAGCATGGAAGGCCTGGGCATCACTGACTACTCCTGTGTCTCTAGAAAACTAGGCTTGTGGAAATACTCAAAGGAAATGACAGATAAGACCAAGGTGTGGGGTGAACTTCTGAATGGTATGTTTAGGAATTTGGACTTTGTCCTCAGGGCAGTAAAGACTAACAATTCTTTAATGTTCAAAAATACTAACTTATTACCTGAGCTGTATTCTGCCACTTACGGCCCTTTTGGACAAAAGAGACTTGATAAACATGGCTTTTAGGAAACTTTGGCAGTGTCGTGGCCATATTAAAGTGTGAGAGTAGCATTGTGGGAATAGAACTGAAGAAGAGCACATTAAAGAGGTAGTTCAGAATTTGAATCAGTAGACTTGGTAACCTGCCTGGCTTTGTCCTCCCTCCTGCAGCTGAGCAATTACCTGTAGTGGAATTTGTCTAAGTTACACATTTATTCCTACAGGGACACCCAAAAGCAGGGCCCTGCAACCATGCTCCGATTGCCTTTCCCCTGATTTTCTGGTGTTTAATGGCCGCCTGGAGGTTAGATGGGATGGTTGTGGGTGCTGATTAATTCAGCTTTTAAAGCATTGGTCTGATGTCTGTGTAGGGCCTTGGCTAGGGCTAGATCAGTGATGTCAGTACTAACAGGCACCACGTGGTGGCATTGGCGTCACTGCAGATGTTGGCAGCAATACAGTCTCGGAGAGAGTAGCAGTGGGAACCTTTGTAAAGCTAGAAATACAGTTTTGTTTTGTCTTTTGGTCATAAAACCCTCCTGAGAACTATGAATTTAGTGTAGCTGTAGGAAGAAAATGGCTTGTTTTTAATGAAGAGCAAAGTCTTTTTCAAGGATCAGAAGAAAGGAACAGAAGGTGAAACAGATTCCATCTTTCTCGAAGCTGAAAAAACAGCATCAACATTCCTTCTAAAAGTGGTGAAGAAACATATATTTTGGAAAATTCCTTTTATGCCTATATTCTTTGCTTGTTAAATCCTTAGACTTGCTAAATTGTTTGTGACAGGGTCTCACTGTAGCCCTGGCTAGCCTGAAACTCCATATGTAGACCAGGCTGTTGGGAGGGCTGGGGAGCAGTGGCCACATGGGGCAAGAAAAAATAGTAGCTGTTGTTACAAGCTTTCTAGACTGTCATAGGAAATTATTCAACACTTCATCCATTTAAAAAGTAAATACACTTGGAGCTGAGTACAGCGTCATGCACCTCTGCTCTCAGCTACAAATATTTTAAAAATAATAAAAAATACATCAGGGGCTCGAAAGATGGCTCAGCAATTAAGAGCACTTGCTGCTCTTATGGAAGACCTGGGTTCAGTTCCCAGCACCCATATGATGGCTTACAACTCTTATTCTAGTGGATACATTGCCTTCTTGTGACCTCTGAGCGGTCCAGACATACATGTGCAGACAAAACATCTGTACACAGTTTTGTTTTTGAGACAGGATTTCTCTGTGTAGCCCTGGCTATCCTGGAACTCTCTGTAGACCAGGCTGGCCTCGAACTCACAGACATCCACCTGCCTCTGCCTTTCGAGTGCTGGGATTAAAGGTGTGTGACACCACTGACTGACCATTAAAGAATTTATGTAAAAAATAAATCACATTTCTTTGTGAACTAACTGTACAGTATCAAATCTGTGAAGCATAGCTTATGCAAGGTGTTAACAGATTCTTGCAAATTTTAAGCCTAAAGTACTGTTACTGTTTTTTGGTTTTCTCTTTTCTTTCATCTTTAAAAGAAAATATTGAGCTACAATGAAGCAAGTCTATTTGGGAGTGTTGGAGGATGTGCCCTCTTCCAACATCATTTTGAAATAATTTCAAGGTCATTAACCACATGAGTATGGTTGGATTAAAAAATATTCAACCAGAACCCCTAATTCCATACTAGGTGATTTCAGTTCTCATGCTAAAATTAATTGGTGTGACATCTTTCCAAGTGTGTAACTCTTAGTGTTCTTTGGTTTTACAGCAGAGGGCTACCATGAAAGATAACCTGATAAAGCTCCGGCAGGAGATGGCCCACCTGGAAGCCGTGCTAGAGCAGCAAGGGAACCAGCCTTCTGGCCATTCTCCGCCCCTCATAGCTGACACTTGTGCCCCCGAAGACCCGCCAGATCCAGAGCACAACATACCAGGAACAGGTCTGTAATACCAAGCAAATGCCAGCATCATAAGGAAATTTTTTCCTCCCTTCACCCTCTATTTCCTTCAGAAAGTGAGGACTGAGTTCCAACCTTGTGTGATCTTTGCTCAGCACATATTTACTGAGTTGCTCCATGAGTAATTTGGGAGCCTTATCGCTAGCTCCTGCTCACAAGTGATGTTCCATTCAGAGGAACCCAAGATAATCATTCATTCATGTCATTCTCTGCGTGTTTACAAGGCGATGCTATGGAGACCCCATAGAAGATAGAAACAGTTCTTGTTCTTAGTTGTTGGGGAAGTTGGTTATAGGTAACCCCATAATTTCAGAATGCAATGAGAAAATAAGAACCATTGAGATATACTCCTTATAGTGTTAGCTCACAAAGCAAAGACCTGTTTCATGTGTTTTCTTGTTTGAAGGAAGAGATCTCTTATTTCAGGAGCTGCACCTTGAGTTTTCAGTCGGAGAGCAGGCTTTGCTGGAGCTTGTTTGACATCCCAGCACTTGGGGTGTGAAGGCAGAGGGGTCAGCAGTTAAGGAAGCTTTCATTTAGAGTGTCTGGTAGGACGCCCACAGGAGGAGTTGGTGCTTAGGGACTGACCAAGGTGGTGAACCCTTCTGGAGTTTCTTCCCAAGTCTCAGAGTCCCACCTGACTTGATGCTCCAATTCCTCCTCCGGCACTTCCTCCACTGTCCTCTGGGGGCTCTAAGGCCTTCCTTGGACTCTTTCTAGGGACTCAAGTCTGTTCACTATTCAGTATAGTGACCTTGGTCTCCACTTGTGCCTTGTAATATTTTTATGTTCAGAAAGAAAGAGTAGCTCATGCAAGGGAAGCTGGGAACTCTGTTGCTATGGCACTGCTTCAAAAATGTAGTTCCTTAAATACTTTCTTTGTAACTGCATCTTCATTTAGTTCATCACCAGATAATGAAGCCCAGAGTCCCATCCCCGATACAGTTATCTCTGGGGTACTGTCAGCTGTTTTGTTGTGAAAATAGACGAGACTTTCAGTTCTGATGCACAAGATAAGAATTGTTACTGTCTGCCTTTCAGTGTCTGCCTAGACCTACTGCCTCGGATTTGGCATACATGTTAGTTTGTTGTCGTTGTCCACACACACACACACACACACACACACACACACACACACACACACACTGAATATCTGTAGATAAAATGTTGCTTTGTGAAAAAAATAAGAATGTTTCTTTGTGGCTCCTTTCTAAAATACTTTACTGTCAATACCAACTCCAATTTTGAGCCTTTCTCTTCTTAGGCTGATGCATTAAGAAGAACTTGATTTCTTTTTCCTTTTCCTTTTAAATATATTTAGTCACAGCACTCAAAAAGGCAGATGCAGGAGGATCTCTGTGAGTTCAAGGCCAGTCTGGCTCACATAGTGAGCACTAGGATCTAGGACAGGACTATATAGAGAGATTCTGTCTCAAAAGCACACAAACAAAAAGATACTTTTAATGTGGACTTAAGCACTAGAGGTAGGAAGGTTTACGGAAAAGGTACAGTGATCGTATGGAGCATTCCCAGAGGCTCCTTGCACCAGGGTGGTTTGTTCCTGATGCTACCTTAATGTTATCGAAATCGTTTGTTTGGTGAATGTGCTGTATGTGTGTGTAGTGTATGTGCACGTATGTGTGCAGGTGTGCACACATGGGTGTCCTCTCACTTCTCTGAGGTAGTGTCTTTCCCTAAGTCTGTAGTTTACGTTCGTTTTGGGCCTGGCTGGAAGCCAGCAAGCCCAGCAATCCTTTTGTCTTTGCGCCCCCAACCTTGCCCCCAGCACTGGGTCTCAGGTGCACATGAGACCACACTGAGCGCATAACCTGGGTCTTCGTGGTTTCACAGCAGCACTCTTGCCCGCTGAGCCATCTCTCCAGCCAACCTGTCCCCCTTTTATTGAGACAGGTCTCCTATATCCCGGGCTCATCTCAAACCCACTGTGGTGTGATAAATAAGCTTGAACTGCTGATGCTTTTTCCACCACTAGCCAAGTGTTAAAATTATGTATGCGTGAGCACTGCCGTGCTCGTTTTATGCAGTGCTGGGGCTCGAACCCAGGGATTCATGAACGCTAGGTATGCACTCTACCAAGTTACATTCCTAGACCATCATCATTCTTTTCTCAAAACTAAAACACTAACATTGGTTCATTACTTTTAGCTAGTGACTATTTAAATTTATATACTATTTTTTTTTGAAATTTTTTAATGTGTATGGTATGTTGTCTGTGCACTGTGTGCCCATGGAGGCCAGAAGAAGATGTCTCTGGATCCCTTGGAACTGGAGTTAAAGACAGTTGTAAGCCACCATGTACGTGCTGGGAATTGAACCTGGGGCTTCTAGAAGAGCAGCCATTACTCCTAAATTCTGAGCCATCTCTCCAGCCACTGTTTATATTATTTTTAAGATTTTGTATCCCTTTTTCATTTTCATTCTCATTGTATGTATGCATGTTTGTGTGTGTGTAAACACACACACGTGTTGGTGTGTGGAGGCCAGAGGTTGGTGTTAGTCATTCTCCCTGGCTCTTGCACTTTAACTCATTGGTGCAGGGTCTCTCAGTCAACTCCGGAAGCTGCTGTCGTGACAGGTCTCCCTAGGCAGCTTGTTCTGAGGATCCTTTGTCTCTGCTGTCCTAGGCTGGAATTACATGTGACTGTCAGGCCCAGCCGGCACTTACGTGAATTTTGGGGATCCAAACTCTGGTCTTCAGACGTGCGTAGCAAGATTTTAATCACTGAGCCATCTCCCTAGCCCATGATCTAGTATACTTAAGGATGATGAAAGTCCCTTCCCTGGGGTCTTAAAATCAGTGCCCTGCTCTTCTGCATAGATCTTCCTGTTTGTCTAAGGTTTATTCCACAACCTGCATAATATTAGTGAACAAATTTATACATACTCAGTATAAATGACCTCTCTCTGTAGATTTGGTTCTTACGTGGCAGGCACACAGACACCATCCCCTGTCACTCAGGGGCAAACAGCATTTGTGAGATCATGGCCCATTGTGGTAGAAGTGATTTTTCAGAGAAATCCAAGCTTTTCTAGCTGCAGTGTGTTTACTCCTAGAAACACTTGTTCAATTTTCTGGGATCCTTCCTTGTGAAAGCTGAATGAGTTGAGATTAACTGAAATAAATGGCTTATGTACCCTATTCGTGTGCATTGTGGCAGGGGGTGTGTTGTTTTGTTTCCCTTAGCAGGATTTTACTGTGTAACCCTGACTGACCTGGAACTCACTCTGGATATTCCTGCCTCTGACACCAGGCCTGATCACCAGTCTTTTTAGTGGATAGAAGATATTCTAAGTGCATTTATGTATGGATGTATGGGGTGTTTTGTTTTGTTTTGTTTTGTTTTTCAAGACAGGGTTTCTCTGTATAACAGAGTCCTGGCTGTCCTGGAGCTTGCTTTGCAGACCAGGCTGCCCTCAAACTCACAGAGATCTGCCTGCACCTGCCTCCCAAGTGCTGGGATTAAAGGCATGTGCCACCATGCCCGGCTCTGTATTTTTTAAGTATTTTGTGTGTGTGACTGTTTTGCCTGCATATGTATGTGTACTAAGTGTGTGCCTGGTGTCCACAGAGGTCAGAAGAGGGCATCGGATCCCCTGGAACTGAAGTTAAAAATGACTGTGGGGACACCACATGAACATCATGTAGGTGCTGGGAACCAAATCCAAGTCCTCTGCAAGGGCAACATGTACTCTTAACCGCTCTTTCTTCATTTTTGAACTAATTGTTTTTGATGTTTAAATATTGTACTGTGCCATCACACTTTTAATTCCAATGCCTTTTTTTTCGGGGGGGAAGTGGGGGAGGGTGTCTTTTTTAGACAGGTTCTCTGTAGGCTGTCCAAGGACTCCCTATGTAGACCAGGCTGACCTCTAACTCACAGAAACCTCCCTGCCTCTCCCAAGTGCTGATGTTAAACATTGTCCCTGGGTGGGTAGGTGGGTGGGTGGGTTGGTTTTTGAGATAAGGTCTCACTGTGTAGCCTTGGCTGGCCTAGAACTCACAGAGATTCCCCTGCCTCTCCTATCAAGTGCTAGGATAAAAGGTGTGCACCATCACACCTAGATTCCAGTGACTTTTTAATGGGATAGAAGATATTTAATTTTCAATTAATTGATGTTTAAATATTTCTTCTACTGTGCACGTGCCTTTAATTCCCAGCCCTTAGGGGGCAGAGGCAAGCGGGTCTGTAAGTTTACTGCCAGCCTGGTCTCCAGAATGAGTTCATATTTTCCTTTAAGCCATTTTCTCAAAGGGAATAGCACATGCCACAGCCTTGCCTTGGGTCTGTTAGATCTTCCCATTCCTGTGCCTTTCCTTATTAACTCCTTATATTACCCAAGATTCCTCATCAGCCAGCACCTTGAGGATGTGTGCGCCAGTGCATGTGCTTTTGTTGGTGGGCTTAGTTTTTGTTGTGTTTGTTTCCCAGTAACTGAAGATGTGAAGCAAATGTCATCTCATCTGACTCTTTGCTGCTCCCCCCACATGTTCAAGTTTCAGCCTGTATCTTGTGCAGCCTTTGATGGAAGACAGAGCAGGAGACGTGCCTTGTGCTTCCCAGTACTTTTGCATTCCTGTTAGCAGAGGAGATTTGGGCAGAATTCCGTTTGCTTCCAAGATAAGAATATATTATATTCTTGCTTTCTTATCACCCAGGGCCAAAAATGAAAGACGCATGCTTTGTTTTCAGCCTGTGGTGATTGAGTAACTCCATTTACCAAGTCTTAAAGTTCCTTCCCTTAGTCTTACTATTTTATAATTATTTCATTCTACCTGGTGCTGGCATTTGTCTGCTGAACTGCTTGTATCGGTTCATTTTTTCTACTATATTTGTTTAATTATAGTTCAGTGGGTGGACTGCCTGGCTGACATGCATGAAGCCTTTGGTCCAATGTGGTACAGACAGTCGGGTATGCTAGCACACAGCTGGCAGCCTGCCCTTGAGCGAGCGGTACAAGCAGGAAGAGGAGGAGCTCGGTGTTGCCCTTGGCTGTGCGGTTCTGTCTCTGTCACTTGTTCTGGCACATGCTGGTAAAGTGCTGCAAAGATGGAGGCAGGAGGGTCATGAGAGTCCCGTCACACATACACACAAAGAAAAAAGGACCAGTCTGATTGTCACAGATGGCTGCTTTTAAAGCCAAATCAATAACCTTACCTAAATTAAGACCATCAGAACCAATAAGTAAAATAGATTCTTCTCATTCCATTTAAAGCAATTTTAACTTCAAAGAACATTAATGAGAATCCTGTAAGCCGGAATCCAGCGTGCATTTCTGCTGACAAGTTCCAACCACAACCTCCAGATAGTTGCACCAGTAGAAATAAAGAGACACGAGTGGGAAGGTAAGAAATGTCAGTCTGTGGTGTTGAAGTGACATCTTTGTTGACACTGAACTCCTTCCTGAGGCTGGGGAGATGACCCCGTCAGTAATGTTTTTTCCATGCAAACAAAAGGACCTGAGTTCAGATCCCTAGAACCCACCTGAAAGTTATTTGTGGTGCACATACCTGTAATCCCTGGGATTCCTGGGGCAGGGGCAGAGACAGGCCGATCCTGGGTGTTGTGAGCTCAGGATTCAGTGAGAGAGAGGGGTAGATGGCCATAGAGGTAGACTCCTGATGGGTAGACATCCTCTGGCCTCCACACTCACCCACCCATGCAAGCACAACCATATGCATGCCTACACCCATTCAAAAAAGTGCCAGGAACAGTAACACAAACCTGTCATCACAGCTCTGGGGACACAACAGCACTAAAGACAGGAAGCTCTTTAGTGCTGTTGGCCAGTCAGTTTATCTAAATTGGTAAGCTCCTAAAAATCAAGTTGGATGCTCAGTGTCAATTTCTGGCTTCTACCTGTATCCTTATGTATATAATGTTTCTTCCATCCTTTCTAGGGTTTTTATTTGTTTGTTTGTTTGTTTTCTTTCTTGTTGTGTTTTGGTTGGGGTTGTTTTTTGAGACAGGGTCACCTGTGCTGATCTGAAACTATCTTGAGACCAGGCTGGCCTCAAACTTGTAGTGACACTCCTTCAGCCTTCTGAACACTAGGTGTACACAATTACAGGCACTAAATAGCCCTGGGTCACATTGCTTTGTTTATTTGGAAATAGGCTTTTGGGTGTGTCTGAGGCCTAAGCTACAACCTAAGATCTAAGAGAAATAAAGGTCAGAATATAATGCAGCTGAACTAAAACCAAAGCAAGCCTGGAAGCTGACGGTAAACATCTCCAGGCAGACCTTGCCCTAAAGGAAATTTTTGCCTTCCTAGAAAAAGTCTGTCTGTTAATTTACTATGGGAAATATTCAGAATATTATTCCAGGATATATATTTAAATCACTATTGCTAAAAGATATATGTGTGTGTGTGTGTGTGTGTGTGTGTGTGTGTGTGTGTGTGTGTGTGTGTGTGTGTGTATATATATATATATATATATATATATATATATATATATATATATATATATATATGAGAGAGAGAGAGAGACACTGTCAAGTTAGGCTTCTGAATCCAGGAATTACAGGCAGGTACCATCACACCCCGCTTTTATTTTCAAAAAGACTTAAACCTATCAGGACAAACATCTCACCACTCCAGAAAACAAGGGTTCTTGTTTTCTGAATCCCTATTATGCCTATATATTTCTTTGGGGAATGGCGACAGGTTGTCAATAATCTAACAATGCCATCTTTTCCTGGCCCTGGACTTAACTGAGAATTTATTTTTAAGGCTAGGGTACTTGTGGTGATGTTGTGTCCTCCAATATATTGTGCACCCTAATAAACTTACCTGGGGTCAGAGAACAGAACAGCCACTACATAGACACAGAGGCCAGAAAATGGTGGCACACACACCTTTATCCTAGCATTCCGGAGGCAGAGATCCATTCAGGATCTCTGCGAGTTCAAAGACACACTGGAAACAGCCAGGCATGGTGGCACATGCCTTTAATCCCAGGAAGTGATGGCAGGAAGCAGAGAAGTATATAAGGCATGAGGACCAGGAACTAGAGCCTTTGTAAGCTTTTAGGCTTTTAGTAGCAGTTCAGCTGAGATCCATTCGGATGAGGAATCAGAGGCTTCTAGTCTGAGGAAACAGGATCAACTGAGGAATTGGCAAGGCGAGGTAGCTGTGACTGGTTCTGCTTCTCTGATCTTTCAGCGTTCACTCCAATACCTGGCTCTGGATTTTTTTAATTGATAAGACCTTTTAAGATTCATGCTACAGGTACTAGCATTATCTGACTAACAAAAAAATGAAAAAGATCTGCTTCCTTGGACACTAAAGCTATGCTTAGTTGGTATACTAAGTCATAAACACTCAAAAGACTGGAGGAACTTGTTGGGCACACACACACACACACATATATGTATATATATATATGTATATATATATATACATATATATTTTATTATGTATACAGTGTTCTGCATGCACATATACCTGCAGGCCAGAAGAGGGCACCAGATGTCGTTATAGATGTTTGTGAGCCACCATGTGGTTGCTGGGAATTGAACTCAGGACCTCTGGAAGAGCAGCCAGTGCTCTTAACCTCTGATCTCTCCAGCCCCGGGCACATATATTATTAACATTTAATGGTTGACTTTTTAGGGGGTATGATGGTGGCGATCAGATGCAGGCTTCCCTATACTTTAAGCAGAGTGCTTTCCCACTGAAATATGTACCCACCCCAATAGTTGACTTGTTTTTGTTTTTTTTTTTTTTAATTTTTATTAATCGCATTTATTTTTGTATGTTGTTTCGAGGTTCTCAGGTAGCCTAGGCTGGGTTTGAACTTACTATGTAGCAAGAGCAACCTTTCCTGCTCTTCTACTTCTACCTCAGGAGGTAGACTTTTAGTCTTCCTTGCTCTTTTTTTTTTTTTTTTTTTTTAATATATGTTTTGCTCAAATGTATGTCTGTATCATGTGTACCCTGGAATGGAGTGATGGACAGTTGTCAGCCACCATGTGTGTGCTCAGACTCCAGTCCCGGTCCTCTGCAGGAAGAAGTGCTGTCAACTGCTGAGCCATCTCGCCAGCCCCGCCTCTTGTTTTAGAATGACTTTGGACACTGGAAATTCAGGGAAAGGGGGTAATACTATAAATTCTTCTCAAATTAGGTGGAAATAAAGTGTAGAGGTATCAGCCTTGCTCAGTTTTCTGTCTCCATAAGAGGACTAACTCAGATGTAATAGTGTATAGAATCTGAATTAGCATCAATGGATAATTTGGCAAAGGAAAAAAAAAGCTGACATGCTTTTAAACAGCTCCGAGATCTACTGCCTCAGCGCAGCCCTGAAGGGGAGGTGTCATGTGTCAGCGGTGGCATGTTGGCAGGCCACATGAATCTAGGCTCCTGAGCTGTCGTATAGACTCTTTTTGGCTGGTCATCCCTTATTTCTCTGACAGTGAGATGTTTCACTTACGCTTTGGCTGTCGAGGAGTTATGATTAGGCCTTTCCGAATTGGTGGTGACGGTTTTCTTCTTTCATCCATCTTTCCAGGCCTTCTTCCTCTTTTAAATCTCCATCGGCAGGCAATAGGTGCTCCTCACACAGCCGCCCTGGGAGTCTTCAAAACAGAAGCTTCCAGTCTCAAGAGGGGCTCCTTCAGGTTGTTGAAGCAGAGAAGTCATGTGAACCACACAACTTAACAGGACCATCTTACTTGCCAAGGCAAGATCTAGGTAATGCTTCATCTTTTTTTTTTTTTTTTTTTTTTTTTTTAAGTTTTTCGAGACAGGGTTTCTCTATGTAGCTTTGCGCCTTTCCTGGAACTCACTCGGTAGCCCAGGCTGGCCTCAAACTCACAAAGATCGAGCTGGCTCTGCCTCCCAAGTGCTGGGATTAAAGGCATGCGCCACCACCACCCAGCTTCATCTTTTTTAATGGAGAAACACTTCGTTTTTATATCCTATATACAAAGTATACTTTTGAAAAATAACATGAGCTACAATCTGAGTTTGCTTGAAAATTATTACAACTGTCAATGAAGGAGACCCCCAACAGTGGGGGCTTCCTCCTAGACCCCGGATTAGGCACAAACTACACCCAAACACCTGTTTTCACAGAGAGATCCTTTATTAAGTGAGGAAGAAAGGTTAAAGTGACTGCTTCTGACTCAGGCGGAACACAGCGGCCAATGACCTTGCAGGTGGGATTTTAAGAGGAGAGGGAAGGTCTGTGTTAGGATGGGCTGGGATGCTGTGGTAAAGGAGGTAGGGACAAGGGAAAGGGGGCAGGGCTGTTTGTCCTGGAGGATAAAGGACTGCTTCTGGATAGAAAGCAGACAGAGGTGGCACATAGGCAAATGGCGGTTTATAAAGGAAAAATGGGAAGCCTTGTGTTAGGATGAGGTGTTTAATTTTAATTGGGCGTGTTGATTAGGTGAACCTAAGGGAGCTTCTGGTTGCTGAACTTCAGTACTTTAATAGCTGGACCTTGGTAGTCAGCCTCAGGAGAAGAAAGTAGCTAAACAAGGGAGTAGATCTTGGCTTGGTGGCTAGCGTAAGGAATGAAATCTCACAGTTTTTAGCAAGGCGGAGGGGATAGGGAGAAGGGCAAGGCCTGCCAGAGCCACGTGCTCCAGTGGGCTGGAGTCCCTTCAGCAAGGCCATTTGCTGCTGTTCTGCCCACAGAAAGCAGCCACTATCTGTGAAAAGCCCATAGTGGATTACTAATAGTTTTGAAGATGATAGGGTCTGGTTGGTTATTACCTACGTGTTTTGCTTTACCTATTAGAATTGTAAGACCCTAGAATAAAGTTACAAGTCTGTCCTTTACTGGAAAATAAGTCACAACCTGAAGTAATGAATATAAATGAACAGCTTTGACTGTACTAGAACTCACTTTGTAGACCAGGCTGGCCTTGAACTCACAGAGATCAGCCTCCCTCTGCCTCCCGAGTGCTGGGATTAAAGGCATGCGCTAGCACTGCCTGGCTTCTTTAGTTGTTTTACTCAGTTTTATTTTCAGAATATAGTTATAAATGTGATATAGTGGTACATGTCTGTAGTCTCAGTTACTTGAGTAGCTGATGCAGGAGGATTGCTTCACCTAGAGTTCAAGGCCAGTTTCATCAGTGATTGTGTGTAAGACCCTATTTCAACTAATCAGTTAAATCGTTTTAAACTTGTTGGGTAGCCCAGGTGAACCTTGGGCTTGTGATCCTCCTACTTGAGCCTCGAATACCTGGGCTTCTAGGCTTAGGCCACCAGGTCTGACTACAGTGAATATTTCCGGACTGGCAAGATGGCTAATCAGGTCAGGGCACTTGCCGCCAAGTCTGATGACTTGTGAGTTCAACCTGTGGGGCTCACAGGATGCGAGGAGAGAAAGGAAAGAGCCAACCTCCCTGTAAGTTGTCCTCTTACTCTACATCACATACACTTACAGCATATAAGTAAGTAAGTAAATGGATGGTTAATAAATATACATGGACTTACAACAAATAAATCAGTAAATGTGTGAATCAATATTTTTAGCTATCTTTAATGTGTTAGAATCGTCTTTGCTTATCAACATTTATTTTCAAAGTGTAAAATCTAATGGATGGGCCAGTAAGATGTCTGAGCAGGTAGAAGCACTTTCTACCAAGCTTGACAACCCAAATGTGTTTCCTACGCAATCTCACTGGACATTTAAGTCATTTCTAAAATTACATTATTATAAACAGAGTTGCAGTGTTGCAGTACACAAATAAGATTTATTTACTTTTATTTTATGTATATGGGTGGTTTGCCTACATGTCTGTCTGTGCACCACATTCATGCCTGGTTCCCATAGAGGCCAGAAGATGGTGTTGGATGCCCTGATCTAAAGTTAGAGGCAATTTTGAGCTACCATGTGGGTACTGGAAACCACACCTGGGTCTTCTGGAAGAGCAGCCATCTCTCCAGCCCTGTGCTGTTTCTTTTTTTAAATAATGCCACATTGTTCTTTAGAGAAACTAAGGCATTGTGCTTTAACCAACAGAGTCCTTGTAATATAACTGAATGGGTCTTTTTAAGTCTTCACAGAGACTGGCATCTTGAATTCAACATTTGTTGCCATTTAAGTTAAACTTCTCTTCCTTGCAGAAGGAACCCCATGTCTGGAATCTGGAATCAGCCTTTTTTCTAATAGAGACCCTGGATCTGAGTCCTCTGAAGAGCCAGCTCATGTTTGCATGACGCCAGCTTCAACCTCTGCACGGAAAGTACCCCAGTGTCAAGTTGCTGAGTCTTTCAAGGGTCCAGCTGCTGCTTGTGCTCACACCGAAGCTGTAGAAACTGTGAGCGAGATAAAGCCAGCACTGACATCCTCAAAAGGAAGAGCCACTAAAGGAATATCCATGGTGGTATCAGGCTTGACCCTCAAAGAAGTAGTGAGTGGATTCATAATTATCTCTAGAGTGACTGGGACTTGACATGACCACTGTAGAAGTACTAGCAATGAATAACCTCTAGGAAGGAGTCTGTCTGAGGAAATAATTACTCAATACTAGACACCTTGCTGGGTATGGTACTGTCTTTGGATTGTATTCGAATTTTCTTTTTATCAAAAAAGAAAATGTAACTAGATACAGCACCTCTCTCTAGGAGGCATCATTTTCCTGATTCATATCTAAGTAAACTTATCAACATGTTTAACTAAATGTAGACTGCTTCGAGAATACTGCCAGCCAGTGGCATTTCTCCAGGGTCTGTTTGTCTTTATCTTGGCTGGTAAGACAGCTTTTTCAATAACCTGCTGTGTCCCCTCTGTCCTGTGGCACCCCTTGCTTATTAGGATTTGGGCATCTCCTTGGGCCCAGTGCCAGAAATGGGAATTGTTTCATACTCGTGGAAACATGAAGCCCACTGAACCCGTGTTTCTTTTTAAGCTGCTTATAGATTCCAAGCATTCTGGGAAATTTAAAGTATATTAAAAGTATTTAAACCTTTGTCTGCCCTGATAGATACAGTGTATAAGTACAGGATAGTAACTGTTGACATTGTCACCTCATAGTCCCATGCTCAGGCAGCAGTTTGCTCAGAAAATTCTCACCTGTGTTTGCTTAAATAGCTCTTGATGGACTTGCCTACACATCTAGAATTCCCATTTATTCACTGAAATTTGTATTCACTGTTCCTTTGTTTTGTGTGTTCAGCTTTTTAGAGATAGCTGGAGTGGTCTAATCGTTTTTGCCTTGGGCAATTCTGAGGTGCAGATTAAACTACAAGTGGCTTGGGTGCATGTTTTCTTTAAACAAGTAGAGAGGAAAACTTTGAGCTCTATTCAGATTTGCTGAAGTGTGTTAAATTTATGATGAAAGCCACTGACTGTATTACACATGATTAATTCTGAAGCCGGCATTAAGATGATCTTTTCAGCAGTTGCTCTTCTAACTGAACACTGTTTGAAGGTTGGGATTTCAGCAATTAACCAGTTCAGAATTGCTAATGACACTGGCACAGGGCAGCGACAAAAGTGGGGGGTGGCATTGGCCTCTCCAGCCTGCCGTTTCCCCGGGCTCGGGGACAATGTGCAGTAGGCGGCATGAGAGGTGGCCGGCTTCCACTGCAGTACTCGGGGGCACATAGACATTTGCATGGGTGTCAAGGGCTAGAAAATGGTGCTCCTGGTAAAAAAGCTCATTTACCAAACAGTAGCTACCAGTTATGTCCACTGTTCCCATAACGGATCTGGTTAATTTCTTTCATTGCCTATTGATTTTTATTTGCGTGATAGATAATAGCTAAGGGACTCTAGATTTCTTTTGGGAATAATGAGTCTCTCTTCCAATATTTTTCCTTAAGAGAGAATTGATATTTTTTTTAATTTATTTTTATTTTGTTGATGTTTTGCTTGTGTGTATGCCTGTGTAAGGGTGTTGGATCCTGGAGTTACAGACAGTTGTGAGCTGCCATGTGGGTGCTGGGAATTGAACCTGGGTCCTCTGGAAGAGCAGTCAGTGCTGTTAACCACTGAGCCATCTCTCCAGCCTGAGAATTGATATTTTTTGCACTGACTACAAATATCTTGAATGCTTTGTAACTATCAGGGTTGAGTCTTGGTTTTAAGGTATATATATCTACAGCAAAACTTTCTATATAAGGCTAGTTACCACTCAGTTTATGAGATGTAGGCTGATAAATCTCAGTTATAGGGTGGTGGTCTGTCTTTCTGTAAAGAAACTCAGAGAATCAAGTTAAATGATCTTTGGTTGTAATTCCCTGGTTTCTAGTACTACATTAGACTGCATTAGAATGTCTCTCTGACTTATATGTGGTTTGGGGGGTTTGTTCTTTGCTTGTGTGTGTTGAGGTTGTGGGGGCTTATTGTTTACTTAAGACAAGATCTCACAATGTAGCCCTGGCTGGACTAGAACTCAGTTTTAAGACCAGATTGGCCTTGAACTCATGGAGATCTGCCTGCCTCTGCTTCCTGAGTACCGGGATTAAAGTTGTGCGCCACCATACCTGGTGACATAGTTTTTTTTAAGTTACCAATTTTGAGACTTCATCCATGTTATATTTTTCAAAGCCAGGGCAAGATGATCCGGGTGACTCAACAGGTAAAGGTGTTTGCATATAAGCCTGACGACCTGAGTTCAATCCCCAAAACACCCAAGGAAGTGGAAGGAGAGAGCCAGCCCCACAGAGCTGGCATCTGACCGGCATGCACACTGCAGTACATGCACATACACAGTCGCACAATGGACATAACCAGCCCCACAGAGCTGGCGCCTGACCCCGCATGCACACTGCAGTGCATGCACATACACAATCGCACAATGGACATAACCAGCCCCACAGAGCTGGCGCCTGACCCCGCATGCACACTGTAGTACATGCACATACACAAGCACACAATGGACATTTAAAAATTTTTTAGAGTGTGCCTTTTCTCAGAAAGGAGACTCAATTAGAATAACTAATACTCTAAGCTGTGTACCTGAGATAATTTAGCATAATTTTTTTAAGATTTTATGGTCAGGCAGTGGTGTCGCGTGCCTTTAATCCCAGCACTCGGGAGGCAGAGCCAGGCAGATCTCTGTGAGTTCGAGGTCAGGCTCAAGTTCCAGGAAAGGCACCAAAGCTACACAGAGAAACCCTGTCTTGAGGTGGGGTGGAGATTTGATTTATTTTATGTGCATTGATGAATTGTCTGCATGTATGTTAGTGTGAGAGGACCAGATTCTCTGGAACTGGCATTACAGACAGTTGTAAGCCGCCATGTGCTTGCTGGGAATTGAACCTGGGTCCTATGAAAGAGCAGCCAGTGCTCTTAACTATTGAACCATCTCTCCAGCCCCTAACTTAACATAATTCAATGTTTGATTTTTGTTTCAGATGATTGTGCAAAAGTTTGCTGAAAAATACCGCCTCACTTTAACTGATGTAATTACTGAAGAGACTACGCATGTCATTATAAAAACAGGTATACTGCAAACCTTCACAGACTATATTGCTTTTATCTCATAAACCACATTAAGAGCCATATAAATAAAAAATTCAAATCCCAAAATTCAAAATCTACAAGTATTTAAATATGGACATAGCATTGCAAATGGAAAATTACTTTTCGTGCCACAGTTCATAGTCAGGATGTAGGCACATGAAGCATGGTGTGTAAAGTTGACTTTAGGGTTTTCAGATGAAGCTTGGTGGAAGAGTACCCACTTAGTTGGCATGGACAAGGCCCTAGGTCATTGGTTCTCAACCTGTAGGTCATGACCCAATGGGGTTGAAAGACCTTTTCTCAGGGGTCACCTAAGACCATCAGAAAACACAAATGTTTACATTATGATTCATAATTAGCAAAATTACACTTATGAAGTAACAATGAAAATAATTTCGGCTGGGCGGTGGTGGCGCACGCCTTTAATCCCAGCACTCGGGAGGCAGAGCCAGGCGGATCTCTGTGAGTTCAAGGCCAGCCTGGTCTACAGAGCGAGATCCAGGAAAGGCGCAAAACTACACAGAGAAACCCTGTCTCGAAAAACTCAAAAAATAAGAAAGAAAGAAAGAAAGAAAGAAGGAAGGAAGGAAGGAAGGAAGGAAGGAAGGAAGGAAGGAAGGAAGGAAGGAAGGAGGAAGGAAGGAAGGAAAGAAAGAAAGAAAGAAAGAAAGAAGAAAGAAAGAGAAAATAATTTCATGCTTGGGAATTGCTACATGAGGAACTGTATTGAAGGGTGACACCTTTAGGAAGGTTGAGAACCACTGCCCCGGGTACTATCTCTAGCACTATAAATAAAAAATTACCCTTAGGATATGTATATAAAACATAAACAAGTTGACTATAGTAACTCAAAGCTTTGATCCCAGCATTCAGGAGACTGAGGGAGGAAGGTCAGAGGTTCAAGGCTAGCCTAGACTGTAAAGCAAGACCTTGTCTCAAAAAACAAATGAAGCAGCCACAAAAAATGGATTTGTATTATGCACGAAAGATGTCTCATATATATGCAGATTTTCCAAAAATACTTTTGGGCCTAGCGTTTCAGATCAGTGTGGAGACTGCCTTTGTGTAAGCGTGCCATGGATGAAGTCTCCTAATAGTCAGTTACTGCTTTATAAAGACAGTACTCTTGCCGGGCGGTGGTGGCGCACGCCTTTAATCCCAGCACTCGGGAGGCAGAGCCAGGCGGATCTCTGTGAGTTCGAGGCCAGCCTGGGCTACCAAGTGAGTCCCAGGAAAGGCGCAAAACTACACAGAGAAACCCTGTCTCGAAAAACCAAAAAAAAAAAAAAAAAAAAAAAAAAAAAAAGACAGTACTCTTGTATGACCTTATGCTGGGTTAGAATTTGCAAAGTGACAAGATGAACTGCCCAACCACCTCCTGTGTGCCTGCTTGGAGTTCAGTGGGTCTAGAGCAGTGACTGGGTCATGGAAGAGCAAGTAAGGCAAAGACAGCAGGGTGGAAGTGAGTCTCCATCTCTCAGACTGTGGGAGTAGCTAGCTACATGTGGCTCCGGGCTGAGTGTGCTGGGTGTGTGTCCTGTAACCTTAACGTGGAAAGGAGGGGAAGAGTGGAGCCGCTCACCTGTCATGTGCTCTCTCCTTTTTCAGTCCTAATTGTGCTTGTATAAGATACCTCTGGGAGTTTTCAGTTGACTGTGTAAAATCTGAGTCAACATTTCAGGGCTGCTGAAAAGCTTATGTTAAACTGGCCTGCATTAATACAAGCCTGATACATGTAGCAAGAGAAGTAGGGTCTAGCCTTTGATGAATCTTCTGCTGGAGTGACTGTCTAGGTAATATTTTCTGTGCTGAACACAGTGTTTTCACTGTGGCACTAATAAGCTTAGAGAGGCCAGGAGGTGGTGGTGCATGCCTTTAATCTTAGCACTTGGGAGTCAGGGGCTGGCAGATCTCTGTGAGTTTGAGGCCCTCCTGGTCTACAGAGTGACCAGGACAGCCAGGACTGTTACAGAGTAACCCTGTCTCAAACAAAAAACAAAAAAACGCTTAGCGTATATCAAGAGGTAGATGGGGAAAAGAAACTCAAAACAGCCGGGCGGTGGTGGCGCACGCCTTTAATCCCAGCACTCGGGAGGCAGAGCCAGGCGGATCGCTGTGAGTTCGAGGCCAGCCTGGGCTACCAAGTGAGTTCCAGGAAAGGCGCAAAGCTACACAGAGAAACCCTGTCTCGAAAAAAAAAAGAAAAGAAACTTAAAATAATGCTGGAGGGCTAGAGCAATGGCTCAGCCGTTAAGAGCACTTGTTCTTGCGGAGGATCCTGGTTTGATCCCCAGCACCCACATGGCAACTCACAACTATCCATAACTCTAGTTCCAAAGGATCCAACACCCTCTTGTGACCTCAGGCACCATACATGCATGTGATAGATACACAAACATACATGTAAGCAAAACAGTCATACATAAAATAAATCTAAAAAAATTTTTCTTTTTAATAAAAGTGCTGTTTCGCAAAGGATAAAGGAATGAGAAGACTCAAGGGGCTGAGATATCCTTCTTTAAGCCTCTGAAGAATTATTGTAAGACTCAGAAAGTCAGAAAACTGCATGGGGGTGTGGGAGGTACAAATTATGACTACACTCTAAACCTTGCTAACAGAATTGGTTTTCCCTTGTATGCTTGCCCATTCTGGGATGTCTCTGTCCTTAGAGCCTGTCTTAGTTAAAGTTTCTATTGCTGTAAGAGACACCATGACCACGGCAACTCTTATAACGGAAAACATTAGAGTTCAGAGGTTCAGTCCATTACTGTCATGGTGGGGAGCATGGTGACACACAGGCAGACATGGTGCTGGAGGAGTAGCTGAGAGTTCTACATCTTGCAGGCAGCAGGAAATGGTCTGAGATACTGGGCGGTATCCTGAGCATAGGAAGACTCAAAGCTCATCCCTACGGTGACACATTTCCTCCAATGAGGCAATACCTACTCCAACAAGGCCACGCCTCCTAATAGTGCCACTCCCTTCAGGATTATGCGGGCCAGTTATATTCAGACTACCACAGAGCTCTAGGCTTCACCACAGAGTCCAAAGCTCTTTGACTCTGCCTTAAGACTGCTAAAATCTAGGTTTCTCGTGCATGAAAATTGTACCAGAGGGCAGTGCTCACTGGAATCAGGTGCCAGAATAAGACAGGGCAAGCTGAGTACTGTTGATAGAGGAATGTCATTAAGTTTTAGTATATTTAAGAAATAGGTTTGAATCAAAGGTGATAAAGGGTGGAAGAGAGCTTTAAAACACAAATTAAATCTAAAGTAACTCTTTAAAGTCATTGGCAATACAGCATTTGTTGCTTGTGAACTAAAATCAGCTTTTATAGCATTTAAACAAGAAGCTTCGAAAATTATGAGGAATTCTGTGAGGCAGAATGGCCGCTTCCACTACTTGCAGATGGCCTGCTGTGTTTGGGATTTAGTTGAATACATTTCTCCTGTTTTAATGGGTTTTTCTCAGTTTGCTTAGTTCTTCAAAGGGACCTTTGAAACACTAGGCAATAAACAGATTCTCAGCTACTGCTTATTGAAATACCTCCATAGGAAGGAGAATAGCTGTGACGAGACTGTTTTCCTGTCCCTCTCAGGAATACAAGGGGTCAGGGTCCCCAGGGAGAGACTGCAGGGGTGAACTTGTCACATTGGCGTTTCTGATTTAGCATCTTTTTTCTCTTTTTTTTTTTTTTTTTCAAATTTAGGACTTCAACACTATTTTCTTCTCTTACATATTGCTGTCTGGTAAAGTAGAGCTCCACTCACATTAATCACTAGTACTAATTAACATAGGAAGGAACTCTAGCTAGCCTTGCCATCTCAAAGCTGAAGCTGACAATTCCTCTGGTCCTAACATGGCATCTGCGTCTTCCAGGCTTCCAAAAGCCCACTCCTGATAGTTATCGTTAGTGATGCTTCTGGCTCCTGATGTTATCTCAAGGGGTACTGGAGTCACCGTTCCAGGTTGATCTTTTTTTTTTTTTTTTTTTTTTTTTTTTTTTTTTTTTTTGGTTTTTCGAGACAGGGTTTCTCTGTGTAGCTTTGCGCCTTTCCTGGATCTCACTCTGTAGACCAGGCTGGCCTCGAACTCACAGAGATCCGCCTGGCTCTGCCTCCCGAGTGCTGGGATTAAAGGCGTGCGCCACCACCGCCCGGCCTCCAGGTTGATCTTAAGAGCAAGAGCTGGCCTCCGGCTTCTTGGGCAACACCTCCTACTTCTGTCTTTCTAACCCTTTGGGTGTTTTTCATTCTGCAGATGCTGAGCTTGTGTGTGAACGGACACTGAAATATTTTCTGGGAATTGCAGGAGGAAAATGGATAGTTAGTTATTCATGTAAGTACAACACAGTGTGTCTGCTTTAACACCTCAGAATTGCATTTTAACACCTGAGGTTTCTGCTGATGCTGAGTCTGAGTTACCAAAAAGTCTTTAACATAACACTAGCTTTGTCTTTAAATGCATTTGGCTTTGTTCAGATAGGCTGGTGGTGTTGAGAAAGTAGATTTCTAACTAATGGGACCTGATCTTCTCTTAGCAGTGTTAGCATAGGAACAGGGATTTATTTCATAGTAGGCAGGAATCCATGTACAGCAGCACTTTTATAATGTTTAAATGAAGCAGCAGCTGTCTCCAGAAGGAAATCTGCCACAGGCTTAGTAAGGAGTCCGTTCTCCTGTGAATCGCTGGACTTCCCACCTCCAGTAAAGGAACCTGTTGTTCTGTTCTCCGAGACTTACCTTTTCTGTGTTCTCTTCAGGGGTGATCCGGTCTATTCAAGAAAGAAAACTTCTGGATGTGGTAGGTAGTTGATACGAACTAATCAGAGACACTTGGTATTAGTGTTCCTTTCTCCCTTCCATACACATCTTTTCCTCAATGATGGGACATTGAGAGTGATGCAGTGCAGGCCGGGAAATGCCATTCTTATTCATTCTAGAGTGCAAAAGAGAGTCTTTTCTTTGGAGAAAGAAAGGACTATACAAAATAAAGATTCATAGGAACAAATAATGAGCCACCTCCAGAGCCAGATGAGGTGATATATATCTGTACTACTGATACTCGGGAGTTTGAGGCCTGACTGGACTACATAACAAGAGCCTGTCTTTTTGTTTTTGTTTTTCAAGACAGGGTTTCTCTGTGTAACAGCTCTGGCTGTCCTGCAACTTACTTTGAAGATCAGGCTGGCCTCGAACTCACAGAGATCCATGTCTTTGCCTCCTGAGTGCTGCGACTAAAGGCGTGTGCCGCCGCCGCCGCCACCTTGCTGAGCCTGGCTTTTTTTTTTTTTTTTTTAATAAGTAAATAATCAGAAACAGCCTCCCCTGCTTTTTTTGAGTCTCATATCTTGGAATGGTCTCAAACTCTAATCTCCTGCCTCTGTCCCTCCCAAGTATTAGGATTGTGGGATTTAGGTGTGTTCCCCCACACCAAGCTCCTCCTGCCTCTTGTAAGTGTCCACCTTTGTAGGAAGCTAGTTATTCAACATTGTTAAAGAAAAAGACTTTGGGTAGGGATGCGCTTAGCTTGTTCTTGTTTAACATGCCTGAAGCCCTGCGTTTGATCCCCAGCACCTCATAAATATGAATTACAGCCACGTGGTGGTGGTGGTGGTGGTGGTGGTGGTGGTGGTGGTGGTGGTGGTGGTGGCGGTGTTGGTGGTGGTGGTGGTGGTGGTGGTGGTGGTGGTGGTGGTGCACGCCTTTGATCCCAGCATTCAGGAGGCAGAGGCAGGAGGATCTCTGAGTTCAAGACCAGCCCGGTCTACAGAGAGTTCCAGGATAGTTAGGGCTACACAGAGAAACCCTGTCAAGAAAAAACAAAAAAAAAAAAAAAAAAAAAAGAAAAAAAAGAGTTACACATGCTTGTAGTTTCAGTCCTAGAGAGTGGGAGCCGCAGGATGAGACATTCAGTCATCCTTAAATTACATGATGAGTTCAAAGCCAGCATAAGCTACCTTAGACCCTGTGTCAGAAAAAAAAAGAAATTAATGTGCTGATGTATCTGTTTAGAAATTGGCCTCCTTCCAAGAAATGCTGCTTTTTTATGATACTAAGAACAATGAGAACTAAATAGTAAGCAGGTAGGAGGAAGAATAATTTTAGAACAGCCAAGAGCTGATGGTGATGATAGATCACACAAACAAAATTAGTGGAACCTGCTTAAAACTTTTATATACTACTCAGTATGTTCATAATTAAATGACACTTTTGTTGATTTTAATTTCGTTTAGTGACCATTTATTGGGAGCCTACCAAGTGTTGATTACTAGGAATAATACCACAGTAAACAAGAATGACCAACTCCCTCTTCTGGAATGGTGTATGCCCTAGTAAGGGAAGATATACAATAAATAGATGAATTTCATATACCAGTATGTGCTTTGATGGACAACAGACTAGCAATTGTCTGGAGTCAAGGGTTACCTACCTCAGCTACAGAGGCCAGGCAAAGTCTTTGTGAAACGACTGAGCTGGGACCTAAATAACAAGAAAGAATTCTCTTTGAGAAATGTAGAGAACAACTCTTTTTTTCCTCCTCCCAGGCCCATTGTTCTTTATCTTCTTATCAAAATAGTTAGTATGAAAAACACTGGAGTTTCTTCAGAATATTAAATGTGTATCTTATCCTTTAAATTTTATGCGTGCATGTGTATGAAAGCGTTTGTGTGGAGATCAGAGGACAACTCTGTAGTGTCTACTACTTTTATATGGGTTCTGGGTTAGGACTCGGGTTGTCAGTCTTCGTGGCAGGAACCTTTACCTGCTGAACTGTCTCACTGGCCTCGTTTTATTATTTTGACTTCATTAACTGTAAATCTTTCAACAGAACTCTGGAAAGCCCTAATTTCTTCAGATGACAATATACGATTGATTTACGTGATCCAGAATCCTCCAGTTATCCTTAGAACAGCACAGCGTTAGCGGTTTCATCTAAATGCTAAGTGAATGCTTTCAGAAGAGATAGATGTTAGAAATTAAAATACATTTTAAAAAAATCAAGTCCCAGTGAGATGAAAGCTGATTGATGATTTCAACAAAGATTTGCTTTCAGCTGTTGAGGTGACTTAGTTAGGTAAAGGCACTAGTTGCCAAGCTTGACAAACCTCAGGACCCGCACAGTGGATGGAGCCAGCCTCAGCCAGTTGCCCTCTAGTGTCTACACGTGTGCCACACACTAACTAAATAGCTAAATAAAAACTTTGCTCTGATTCATTGATTTTAGCAACTGAGATCCTGGTCATCATATCTAGCCCATAGAATAACAATATTTTTTTAATCCCAGTACTTGGAAGGCAGAGGCAGGCGGATCTCTGTGAGTTCCAGAAAAACTCTGAAGCTACACAGAGAAACTCTGTCTCGAAAAAAATGGGGGAAAAAAAATCCATATCTTTGGTCAAAACTGGTGATTCTGAATACCTAAAGTACTTCAATGAATGTGGCTTTCCTTCCTCTGGTCACAGTGTTTTGTGTGTTTGGGGCTTTTGTTTTCTTGAGTTTGCTTGGTTTGGGTTTTAGTTTTTTTAATGGTTTATTTATTTTTATTTTACATGCATTGGTGTTTTTGCCTGCATGTATGTCTGTGTGAGGGTGTCAGATCCCCTGGAACTGGAGTTACAGACAGTTGTGAGTGCTGGGAATTGAACCTGGGTCCTCTGGAAGAGTAGTCAATGGGTAAGAGCATTTGCTATTCTTCCAAGGAACCAGAGTTTTTTGTGTTTTGATTTGGTTTGTTTGTTTTGTTGGTGGTAGTTTTCAAGACAGGGTTTCTCTGTGTAGCCCTGGCTGTCCTGGAACTCACTCTGTAGATCATGCTGGCCTCAAACTCAGAGATCTGCGTGCCTCTGCCTCCCGAGTGCTAGGATTAAAGGCTGCCACCACGCCCCGCTAGGAACCAGGGTTTTATTCCAGCAGCCTCATGGATTCTCACTGCTATCTGTAACTCCAGTTCAAGGGGATCTAATCTCTTTGGATACCATGAATGAGTATGGTACACATGTGCACATACATACATGCAAGCAAAACACTCATACACATAGAATAAAAAATAAGAATGAATTTTTTTGTGTGTGTTTTTTTTTCAAGACTGGGTTTCTCTGTGTTGCTTTGGAGCCTGTCCTGGAACTCGCTTTGTAGACCAGGCTGGCCTTGAACTCACAGATATCTGCCTGCCTCTGCCTCCTGAGTGCTGGGATTAAAGGCGTGCGCCACCACTGCAGGCAAGAATACAATGTTTTTTTAATTTTTTTCTTTCTTTTTTTTTCTTCTTTTTTTTTTTAGTTTTTCGAGACAGGGTTTCTCTGTGTAGCTTTGCGCCTTTCCTGGAACTCGCTTTGGAGACCAGGCTGGCCTCGAACTCACAGAGATCCGCCTGTCTCTGCCTCCCGAGTGCTGGGATTAAAGGCGTGCGCCACCACCGCCCGGCTTAATTTTTTTCTAAGACAGGGTCTCACCTGGGTATGGTGGCATAGGACTTTAATCCCAGCTCTTGGGAAGAGGCAGGGTCAAGCAAATCTCTTGAGTTCAAGGCCAGCCTAGTCTACAAATTGAGTTCTAGGCTATCCAGGTTGTATAGCCTTGTCTCAAAAGAGAGAGACCAGAGACAGAGAGAAAACAAGGTTTCATGATAGTCCTGGCTAGCCTGGTACATAGTACTCAGCCACGTGGCCCAATTTTTCATTTTAAGTGTGTGTGTGTGTGTGTGTGTGTGTGTGTGTGTGTGTGTGTGTGTGTGTGTGTCCGTGTGTCCATCCATCTAATTACAGTGCCTGTGGAAGCCTGTGTCAGTTCTCCTTGGAACTGGAGTTACAGGTGGTTGTGAGCAACCAGATAAGGGAATTAGGAACCAAAACCTCTGGTCCTCTGTGAGATGAGTGTACACTCTTCACAGCTGGGTCATCTCTCCACTCGACTGATGACAGTTCTGTGTTTGGTTTCAGCATGAATTTGAAGTCAAAGGAGATGTTGTGACTGGGAGAAACCACCAAGGTCCAAAGCGATCCAGAGAATCCCAGGAAAAGGTAAAGTCCCTCTCGTATGTGACAGAAACCCCCGCCTAAGGCTCTGCAGCCAGCTGCTATGGTGAGATTGGTCTTTACCTGGTAAGGCACATTGCATGCTTGTGTTCTCGCTGTGTGATGGAGACAGTTTTTGTTCTCTCAGCCCAACACGGCAAACAGAGATTGCCTCTGCCCCATAAGAGAACATAAAGCTTAGAGTGGTGGTTGTAATTTAGGTTCCAGTCTGAGGTTGAGATCTCAGCTGATAGTGATGGAGTTTAGATTTCAAAGATGGGAATCTAAGGCAGTGGTGATGCACGCCTTTAATCCCGGCACTTGGGAAGCAGAAGCAGGTGGCTCTCTTGAGTTCAAGGCCAGCCTGGTCTACAAAGTGAGTTCCAGGACAACCAGGGCTACACAAAGAACCCCTATCTCTTAACAAAAAAAAAAAAAAAACAAACCCTCAAAGATGTGACCTAAACCTTTTGCTCTTCTTGCTTCCCCATGGTCTTTTCTCTGAGTGCCACAGTAAAGTGCTGTGAGCAGGGTGTGCATGGAACAGCTGTGAACACAGAACAGAAGTGACTCATAATCAACAATTTTACAACACTGGGATGTGTACTATTATTATCTTTTTTTTTTTTTTTTCTTTTTCTTTTTTTGGTTTTGTAGTTTTGGTGCCTGTCCGGGATCAGACCAGGCTGGCCTTGAACTCACAGAGATCTGCCTGGCTCTGCCTCCCAAGTGCTAGGATTAAAGGCGTGCGCCACCACTGCCCAGCCTTACCTATATTTTACGTATAAGAAAATTTAGGTTCAGATAGGTTAAGGTCCCTGGGGTCTCTTAGCTAGTGAGTGATGGAAGAAGTTGAACCCAGGCAGTCGAGCTCCAAATCTCAATTCACAAGTTGTAGGTGGCTTTGCCAGTGAAAAACAGATTACCCCAACAACTTTGCAAGTAAGAGGAGGACTCAATGACTCTCTCCAGCATGTCAGAGCAGATGGTGCAGCCAGAACTGCATCCTCCTCCGTGCAGGAAGAAGTCTTCACAAGATTTCACACCTGCCTGGCAGGCCTGAGCCAACTGCTTTCCCAGGTTACTGGGTAAGTGCTTGTGTTCCCAGGCTGCTTTTCTTCTCTCTCAAGTGTGCACCAGCAGGTGTTTCAGAACATTCCCATGCAGAGCACCTTCTGTTCCTCCTCAGAAACTTGAGAGGAGACTAGTAAGGTCGGTTTTTCAAAGGAAAACTGCTTTGGACGGGATCACAAACCAAGCCTGGAGTTGTGAACCCTTGGGATCGGCCCACCCTCACTCTGAGCCTATCAAAAAGCTGTTACAGATGCCGAGAAAAGCTGCTTGCTACTTCTACTTTTCCCTTTCCCCCAAAGGTGTTCTCTGTGAGCCAGCCGTGTGTTCTTACCCAGCTGGGGGCCATGCAGAATTAGCACCGGGTCCCTCCTTCCTTACAGGAAACCCCAGTGCTGCGGGATTTCTCTTACATTCGGGATAGCAGTGATGGAAACTGCTTGGGCAGAGGAATGACATTCAGAAGATACGAGAATGCCACTGCAGTATTTTCACAAAGAAATGTATTTGTAGAGGTGAAGCTTTAGAGTCCTTATCTCATAACTAGACACTCTCATCAGTGTTAGCCTGGATATGAAAATTCCTAATGTTTTATATTTCTCAAGGCAGCATTTGGCTCCAGCTGGCTGCCTGAAGGGGACTTTTAGTGTTTATGAGCATCTAGGTCCTGTCAACACATCGGGGATCCATTTTACTCATCCAGATAGGGAAAGAGCAGAGGTGGGGACTGTCATTTCCAACAATAACTGATTTGCCTGCTGCCCTCTTTCTCTGCCGGTCATGTGGTGAAGCCATTTCCAGTGGAGCCTTCCGTGGTTTTTACCCCTTGATTTTCTGTCTCAGCCGACCGAGTCAGTTTTCTTTCGTGTCATAACAGGATGGGAAGATGGTCAAAAGAATGAGTTACTCAAATGATATATGAAAATACATCCATCCATGCTAGGCCTGCTCGCACTACTTTATAATCCCAACACTCAAGGCTAGGACGGGAGGATTGTGAATTTGAGGCCTGGACTACAGGTTAAGATCCTGTATCGACAGAAAAATATTAATAACTGGCAAAATTTAGGTTTCTTTAGAATGGTATCTTGAAACCCTTTCTAAGAACTCATGCTGGTGTACACATGAGAATTTGGACTATGTAACAGTTGTTACTAGACACACAGGCTTGTTCCAAGCTTGATTAAAAATGAAGTTCAAGCCAGGCAGTGGTGGCACACTCCTTTAATCCCAGCACTGGGGAGGCAGAGACAGGTGGATCTCTGTGAGTTTGAGGCCAGCTTAGTCTACAGGGTGAGTTCCAGGACAGCCAGGGCTGCACAGAGAAACCCTGTCTCAGAAAAAAAAAAAGTTCAGAAGTTCAGTTCCTCGCTCACACTAACCACATTGCACGTGTCTACCAACCTCACATGTCTTATGCCTCACTACCGTACCAGACCAGATACAGGACATTGCCAGTGTCACAGAAAGTTCTTTGGGTAGCACTGATGAGCACTGTAATTACATTTTTCCTTAGGAGGATATGTTTCTGCGTATTCTGTGTCATCAGAAAATCAGATGTTGGGGCCAGCTGGGTGAAAAGTTTGCACAAATATTAAAATGTCCAGGTCACCTGAAGATGCAGTGGCTGTTGTCCCCGCAGTGTGAAGGACGGAAGGGACACTTGACTTGGAGGGAAAAGGGGTGTGTGCAGATGAGACTGGTGACCCTGCTGGCCGGGGCAACACATCAGACATCATCCAAGAGCTCTGAATTTCCTGCCGTTAAATGTAAAGAAGGACCAGTGGGTTGTTCATGTTTGGTTCCTTTTCCTCATATCTGACAAAAAGTAAAATCACTTTACCAGGGTCACCAAGCATGAGCCTGGACCTGACTGGGGACAAGATAGGACATTCATCCCTTAAATGACAGAGAATGACTATAGGGTCTAGAGAGAGGACTCAGAGATTAAGAGACTTCCTGCTCTTCCCAGCATCCACATTAGGTATCTCACAACTGCCTGTAACATCAGCACCAGGAAATCTGACACCTTCTGGTCTCCACGGGCACTTGTAGGCACTTGGACATGTGGCGCGCGCACACAATAATGTTTTTAAGAGTGACTCTGGAATGTAGATAGTTTTATACATAATTCAATAAAATCTGAAATCAGGGGCTGGAGAGATGGCTCAGAGTTTAAGAGCACTGGCTGCTCTTCCAGAGGTCCCAAGTTCAATTCCCAGCCACCCTTCTTCTGGCATACAGGCAGAACACTGTTCACCTAATAAGTCTTTTTAAAAAAACAAAATTCAAAATCAGTTCAGAATATCGAACTGATTGTCTCTGGGAAGGAGCACAGAAATTGTTAAGTGGTAAAGAACAGTTCTTCCATTTCAGGGTGTCTCAATTTCATATAAAAACCCAAACTCTGGGCATAGTGGTACATTCCTGTTATCCCAGCATTTGAGAGGTGGAAGCAAGACGATCAGGAGTTCAAGGCCAACGTATATTATAAGTTTGAGGCTACCTGGCCTATGTAAGATCCTGTCTCACAGAAAGGGGAGAGAGACTGGAGAGGCAGCTCAGTGGTTAGTGCTTGCTGCTCATTCAAAAGACCTGCTTTTGGTTCCCAGCACCCACATTGGGCAACTCACAACTGCCAGTAACCCTAGCTCCAGAAGCTCTGGTGTGCTCTTCTGGCCCCCTTGGGCACCTGTACTCATGTGGCATGTACTCTTTTTTCTCTCCACACTATCATTCATCTCTTCTCTTACAGCTCTTCAAAGGACTAAAAATCTGTTGTTGTGAGCCCTTCACCAACATGCCCAAAGGTAAGAGCCTGGGAGGGCTGTGGAGTTACAGAATCAGCCTTTCTTGCATAACAGAGTAGTACAGACAGGGTCAACCTATGTAGAGGTTTCAGATTGGTCAAATGTTCTAGAGTTACTTTATTTCTCAACCATTCTCCAAACAGATGAGCATAAACTTCCCATGAGCTCAGGGAAGATACCATATTCTGTGCTTGTGTGGGATAGAACTTCTGTTATGGCTTACTTGGACTAAGGAAGGGTAGTGGGGACAAGAACAACCTAGGCTTTGCCAAGTATGGCAGCACAGGCCCTTGTTGCTGTAGATGTATTCATTTTTGTTAGATTTTGTTTGTTTTCTATTTGAGAAAGTATCTCTGTGTAGTTCTGGCTGTCCTGGAACTTGGTATGTAGACCAGGCTGGCCTTGAACTCAGAATTCACCTATCTCTGTGCTATCACACCCTCTTAAGAACTGTGTTTTTATTTTTACGTGAAAGGATGTTTGTCTGCATATATGTATATGCACCACTTGTGTGCCAGGAGCCCACAGAGGTCAGAAGAAGGAGTCAGAGCTCCTAGATCTGAATGGTTGTGAGCCACCTTTTGGGTGCTTGGAACCAATCCCAGGACCTCTGCAAGACCAGCCAGTGCTCTTAACCACTGAGCCATCTCTCCAGTCCTCGGGACATGCTTTTAATCCCAGCATTTTGAGTTTGAGGCCAGCCAGGGCTAAGTGGTGAGAACCCTGTCTCAAAAACCAGGCGGTGTTGGCACAAGCCTTTAATCTCAGCACTTAGGAGGCAGAGGCAAGCAGATCTTCAAGGCCAGCCTGGTCTACAAAGTGAGTTCCAGGACAGCCAGGGCTGCTACACAGAGAAACCATTTCCTGAAAAAACAAACTACAAGAACCTAGGGTTTCTACGTGTCAAGAAGAGTTCTCTTGTTCCTGGACCACCTTCATTTAATACAGAAGTTTTATGGTCTAGGCCATGCACAGGCCAGAGGAAAGGGAAGCTCATGATGAATATTTGTAGTTCAGTTTAATGTTAAATATGTGACAGTTAAACTGCTTTGAAGCTGGACTTAGTGACGTATGCCTGTGATCCAAGCTTAGGAGGTAGAAGCAGGAGGATCAGCAGTCTGGGTTTATCCTTGAGTACATAGAGAGTTCACCACCAGCTTGGGCTCCCTGACACCCTGGCTCAAAACAGTTAACAACCGCTATGCTCTACTCTTACATATCAAAAGCCCTTGTCCAGCCAGCCTGATCTACAGAATGAGATCCAGGACAGGCACCAAAACTACACAGAGAAACCCTGTCTTGAAGGAAAAAAAGCCCTTGTCCAGGTGCAGATTTGGTTAGTTCTCTTCAAAATGAAAGTGTCCCCCTTCTCTGTGCTTCACTTCAGCTCCAGGGACTGGAGTCCTGTGGCGTAGGAGAAGCGGTTTTCATCCTTCCGTAGGCTGTGCCCTTTAACACAGTTCTTGGAGTTGTGGTGACCCACAACCACAAGATTATTTCATTACTACTTCATAACTAATTTTGCTACTGTTGTGTGGCATAATGTAAATATCTGATATTTGCTGCCCCCACCCCACCCCCGTGAAAGGGTCACTCGAGTCCTCCCCCTAAGGAGTCGAGACCTGTGGTTGAAAACCTCTGCCTTAGTATCTGGCCATAAGCAGATGAACGGTAGCAAGGTGGCCTGGCATTGTAATTCTGCTTCATTCTATACTGGTTATTGATTGGGGTTTTAGAAATTTTCAAATGCCAGTCAATGATTTCTCTATGGTTTTTTATTTTGGGAGGTTTATTTTGTTTTGTTTTCTCTGAGACAGGATTTCTGTTTGTAGCCCTGGCTGTCCTCAAACTCAAACTCATAGAGATCTACCTGCCTCTGCCTCCTGAGTGCTGGAATTAAAGGTGTGCGCCACCACACCCAGCTTTTAATATAGTGAAAGCCAGGGACTCTAGTGAATGTTAATGGAGGAAGGGCTAAGGGCTAAGCCTTAGCTCAGGCAGGCTGGCAGGCAGGAGTACATCCACGAGGCCAGCCTGGTCTACAGATCGAGATCTGGGACAGGCACCAAAACTACACAGAGAAACCCTGTCGGGGGGTCAGGGGGGTACATCCAAAGAAGCCTAGATTGATCACTGCTGCTGATTCTTAGGCCCAAGCTCTTCTGATATTCATTCCCAGATATGTGGATTCTAGCTCAGCATGTGACCTTTCCTAATGATATGGTGGGTCTTTGGCCAGGAGAACCTGTTGTTTTAGCGCGAGAGTGCGCACATACACACACACACACACACACACACACACACACACACACACTGGATGAAATACCTTCCTATCTTTTCACATTTCAAGAATGGTGCTCTCAGTGGCTGTGATTATCAGTTACCAACACTGGATTAGGATGCAGGAGCAAGGAAGAAAGATGAGTGTTTAACACGTAGTATCTAGCTATTTAGCAAAGTATTGGAAATTCGAAAATAGCTTGCTCACTGAGAAGGTTTGCTCCAGGGAAGACTGTAGAGGGCCTGAGGTATGTATGTGGATCACTATGATCATTTTACATCCATCCTCTGTAGATGAGCTGGAGAAGATGCTACAGCTGTGTGGGGCTTCCGTGGTGAAGGAGCTTTCATCACTGACCCATGACACAGTAAGTATTTTGGACCTCCCTAAAGATCCTGTGAACTTGTATCAGAAGACTCAACTGTGAGGCATGAGGAAGGACCTGGGAACTATAAGCAATCAATGTATTGAGGGAAGTCTTTTCTTTCTAGTCGTTTGACCGTGTGAAAGTGGGGCGTGACTTTTCCAAAGCCCTGCTTTGACACTCTTTTTTTCTTCCTGGGGATGCAGGGTTCTCAACCAATTGTGATCATCCAGCCAAGCGCCTGGACAGAAGAGAACAACTGCCCTGGTAAAGTGTCTCCATGTACTATGCACTCACGTCCTCTGAGGTCCTGTTGGGCGGGTTTGATTCACTAGTTACCTGGTGCTTACTTGACTAATACAGTTCTCAGGTGCTTTTTCTTTTCTTTTTTTCTTTGTTTGTTTGTTTGTTGTTGTTGTTTGGTTTTGTTTTGAGGCATGGTCTCACTGTAGCCCTGGCTGGTCTGGAACCCACTTTATCTTGGAACTCAATGAGTTCCACCTGCCTCTGCCTCCCAAGTGCTGGGATTAAAGGTGTTGCCAGCCTTCCTGGCCTGTTCTTCGTTTTGTTTTGGTTTTTTCCAGTTGACCTGCTATGTAATGCAGCCTGGTTTCGAATGCTTGGCCGTCCTTCTGCCTCAGCCTCCTACGTGCTTTACATACGTACTTTGAAGTGTGTATGTGTGGAGGTTGCAGGATAAGTTAAAGAAGTTGGTTTTCTCTGCCCACCATGTGTGTCCTGGGGTTCACACTCAGAATGTTTGTCTCTGCAACAAGTGCCTTTACCCTCTGAGCCATCTTTTTGGTGTCTTTGTTGTTTTGTATTGTAAAAGTAATGTGTGAGGCCAGCTGTGGTGGCGCACACCTTTAATCTCAGCATTTGGGTGTCAGAGGCAGTTCAATCTCTGAGTTCAAGTATATGGTTTGTGTGTCAAATTCAAGGCCAGCCAGAGCTGTACAGTGATACCCTGTCTTTAAAAAACAAAGTGTGTATGTGCATGTACATGTACACACGGGTGATCATGCTTATGGTGTTTTGTTTTCTCAGCATGTTTCTCCACATCGTTGCTCTCTTTGGTGGCTTCTCTTTATTATCAGGTTGAAGCTCGTGTTATTTCAGTTTCCAGAAGCTCTGGCTTCTGAGTGAGGATTTACGTCCTGAAGTGCTGCTTCAGAGCCCCAGTTTGTTTCCCACCTGATTAACCCTAAGGTTCATGTGATCAGATCTCAGAGTGGATTGATTAGTCTGGTCTGGAAGAATGACTTGACACCTATCTCTACTTGTGTTCTGTCAGCAGAGATTGGGCAGCTGTGTGAGGCACATCTGGTGATGTGGGACTGGGTGTTGGACAGTATATCCGTCTACCGATGTCGGGATTTGGATGCCTACCTGGTACAGAATATCACCCATGGCCATGACTGTAGCGAGCCACAAGACCCCAATGATTAGTTTAAGAAGTGACCTTTCCATGCCCAGGGAGCATCTCACTCCTGGGTGCTTCCACATCCTACGTACTAAGTATTTTATAAGCATCAGCCTAGGGGTAGGGGGAGGCCTCTACCTATGTGAGGGTCCCTTAAAGGTTTTCTGATTTAAGTCTCCCTTTGAAATCTGTCTTGAGCATAAAAAGTGTTTCACGTGAGAAGAATTTAAGTCTATTTAAACCCCACCACTTGAACAAGATGCTAATTCATGATATATTGTTCTTGGAGAGACAGAGTAGAGTGACTGGTCTGCCCTTGGCAGGAAGAGACAGGGGTATCATGAGTCCAAGGCCAGCGTGGGCTATACAATACCCTGACTCAAGAGTGATAGCTAGTGGTCCTAATTTGTTTTCTTATAAAATCTCATCTCATGTTCATAAAGACCAAGAGTCAAGTCCTTCGGGGAAATTGCTTGAGGTCTGTGATTTGACTTAAAATCAGTGCTCAAGACTCCAGGTTCCATACCCAGCACCAAACAACACCCATATTTCCCTACCCCTCCACCGCCACCGCGGGCCCCCCCCCCCCCCCCCCCCCCCCCCCCCGCGCCAAGAAAACCAGAACAGCCCTTGGACAAGTCTTGGGTGTCAGTGGACACTGAGGAAGTTCAGAGACAGATAATGTATTCGATATGAATATGAAGTTTTTCAAGTGTCCAGGAGAGCCTTCTAATTCTCCATAACTGAAGAACAAAGTGTTTGCTATAACTCTGCAAAGTAACGCATTCCTCCTGACACCCAAGATCTCTGATATGAATATTTCATGTCTGTAAACGATGGATCCCACCAGGAAAGGAGCTGTTGCCTGCTTTGAAGTAATTTTTCCCTTTTGCTCCCTATTGCTGAACCATATACTGCTTCATAAATAATTTTGTTTGCTGAAGGAAGAGGACGTATTTTTCATAAGCTCATTATCTTGGACTGTTTATAGCGGTTGGAGGGACTAGGTCTTCCCTGGCCCCCCAGTGTGCAAGGGCAGGGGAGACCTGATTGTACAAAGTATGTTATGTAAATGTTGTGCTGTTAATACTGCAAATAAACTGAGTAGCAAACACTTTCACTGAGAATGACTGTTTGCTGCCACACCTGACAGCCAGTGTTCAAGCCCCGGGACCCACATAAGACAAAGAGCTGACTCCTGCAAGTTGTCCTCTGACCTCCACACATACACATGCCATGGCCTGTGTATGCACATGCAAAATAACTAAATAAGTAAATGTCAAAAAATTAAAAGTTAAAAAAATTAGTAAATTACAGTCCTTAAATTACTTTTAAAGGTCTGTGCTGGAGCAGTGGCTCCCCAGTTAAGAGCACTTGTTGCTGGTTTTTCTCTTTGGGTCTCCATTATGTAGTCTTGACTGTCCTGGAACCCAGATTGTAGACCAAGCTGGCCATGAACTCAGATATCGTGGCTATCCTTCCTACTTCAAGCTCCCAGCTTCTGACTGTGTTTTCAGCTGTCAGGAAATGCCAGTGCAGCTGGGCTGGAGATGTAGCTCAGTTGATAGAGTGCTTGCCTAGCATGTACGGAGCTCCGAGTCCGATTCCCAGCACCACATAAAACCTGACATAGTAGCTCACACCTGTAATCCCTGTGTTTGGGAGGTGGAAGCTGGAGGATCAGTTCTGGTCAGCCAGGGCTACGTGAGACCCTGTCAAAAAAAAAAAAAAAAAAAAAATCAAGGGTCTGGAGAGATGGCTCAATGGTCAGGACTACCTGCTGCTCTTGTATAGATAGGATCTGGTTCCCAGCACTCTGTGGTAGCTCACAATTCTAACGTCAGTTCTGGAGACCCAGTGGTCTCTGCAGGCACTGCACACATGTGGTGCACATGAACTCATAGGCCACAGACAAAAGATAAATCTTTAAGAAGAAAAGCTTTCCACTGCCAGGCAGTGGTGGCGCACGCCTTTAATCCCAGCACTCGGGAGGCAGAGCCAGGCGGATCTCTGTGAGTTCGAGGCCAGCCTGGGCTACAGAGTGAGTTCCAGGAAAGGCGCAAAGCTACACAGAGAAACCCTGTCTCAAAAAAACCAAAAAAAAAAAAAAAAAAAAAAAAGCTTTCCACTTCAGCCTTCCCAAAGCAAGACCTCCCGGATCTGTCTCTTCCCTGAGTACCCATCAGGGGATTGATGTGTCTCATCGTCAGTGAAGGCAGGTAAGAAATAAGCAGGAGTGCGAGTCTCCTAAATGGATCTTTTCCAGGGAGCAGCTATGACTTGAGGTAGACTTCAGCCTGCTGTCCCACAACACTGAGGTTAATAGAAAGAGCACCCCAGCCTCTCATGGGATCCTGGGTGAGAGCAGATTTAACTGAAATACATTAAGTCACATAATTGTCTCAGTGTCTGACACGTGTACACCCTGTCTGATCGGAGCTCTGTATGATGCTTGGCCTAGATTAAGAGTTCTATCTGATGATGGAGTAAATCTTGTTCCTTTGACCTCTGCCTTCCCACTTTCCCATCCTGCAATCTCTAGCCCTCTCTGAGCAGAGCAGCATTTGAGAACTGGTTCCTATATTGACTTTTATCTCATTCCGAAAAGAAGCCGGAAGGGGAAGAGGATTATCAGGCAGGCATAGGGAGGGAGCCTAGAGGAGCACTCCAGCTGATTATCTCCCTCCTCAAAAATGTAACCAGAATCCACAAAGTATCAGCACAAAAACATGCAAGAGAAAAAGAAAGGAATCAGTGTTGGGATGGTTGGGGCGGAAGGAGCCAAGATGCCCAGAATGTATCCTGTGAAGGCTGCTAGGAGCAGATAAGTACAGCCTCCAAAGTGGACAGCTTAGAAAGAAGGGCAGAGTGAGGGGACTGCAGATGTGCCCAAGGAAACCGCACAGAAGGCCTGCTGCCCAAAGGAAATGGAGCTCGCTCACCATGGTTTCAACGAGTGGCCTCTGCACCCCGCTTCAGAGATGCCCACTGCCTGCAAACAACCTAAAAATCTGCTAAAGACAAGGGAACATTAAAGAGATGCACCTGGCAGGCTAAGAGTTAAAGAAAACTGAAAACAGCTAGTTTCTACAAAGAGCATGTGTGGCTTGAGGAATCTGGAAGCTAGTCCTCACCTAGCAAGGTGATGCACACCTATTAATTTGCACTTGGGCAACTGAGGCAAAAGGCTCTGCTTAAGCCGGGAGTGGTAGTTCACAGCCTGTAACTTAAACCCGTAGGAGGCTGAAGCAGAAGGAGCACTATTCCAGTTGGAGCTACAGGAGACCCTGTCTCAAAAAAACAAAACAAGAAACAGCTGGTGAAATGACTGAGCAGGTTAACATTTGCCTCCCAGACCTGTGACCTGATTTCAATCCCAGGAACCCACATGGTGGAAGTCGAGACCTGACTCAAACAAGTTGTCTTTTGATCACATGAACCCTGTGGCACACTTGTATGCACATACAGACACAAAACAAATAAAATGGGATACAAATTTGAAAAACCCCAAGAAGCTGATGCTGAATGAAAACCTAAGTGTCGGTCCCTAACTGACTGAAGGGCACGAACTTTGAACACCTGATTTCAGAGACCTAAATGACATGGTAACATGCACCTTAGTTGAGTGTTTCAAAACATTCCCCCTTGATGAAGGCCTTGGGGTGGGGCAACCGCATCACCTAAGAACTTAGACATGCAGATTCCCAGCCCTGCCTAGACCCACTGAACCAGCAACTATGGCAGGTAGGGCCTACCCAGTGACCTGGGCCTCTGCAACAGACTCAAGTCTAAGAACCACAAGCTGAGATAAGGGGAATAAGATCCTAGATCTTGGGCCCTGTGAAGAATAAATAAGGTTGGTGGGCTTGTAAATGGTTCTTATCTCCACAGTTGAAGCAGCTGGCTTCAGTTAACTCCACAATGGCCCTTTAAAAATAAACAAAGCCAAGGACAAAGATTATATTAGCCACCTAGGAGCAGAAGGGCCAGACTAGGTTTTTTTTGTTTTTTTTTTTTTAAATACAGCTAGAGGTTTAGGAGGTTTTATTAATATTTAAATTGCCATGAAACCGCAGCTGCAGCCTTTGACTCGAGCAGAGAGATATGCAAATGTGGCTTTGAAAAGCAAGGCAATTTCACACGGCCCTCAAGGTAACAAGAACAAATAAAACAAATGATTTTGTAATTTATCTCTATTGACTGATGGAGTGCAAGGCATGGACAGCCCTGAGAGAGTCAGCAACTACTTGCTCTCTGAGGGGAGCAGAGAAAGCCTGCCTGGAGGGAGGAATGCAAGCAGCCCCATAGACTTGTGACGGAAAAGACCCAAGGAGACCAGGAAGCTGCTGGAAGGAGAAGATGACTCCATTAACATGGAGCGTTTCAGAGACCCATTCTGAGGTTCTGTGACCCATCTGATCCTGCCAACTCATGGGAGCCACAGCAATAATAACCATCAATTACTACCATTTACCATACTCCTGGGTGCCGTGCGTTATTCCCTACGTACAAATAAAGAAAATGAGGTTTTGAGAGGTCAAGTGACTGACCGTAGGTCACACTATAGAAAAAAGTGACAAAGCCCAGATTCAAAGATGTGTCGGGCTAAACAGCCCATACTTTTCCCAGTGCATTTCGCTAGGTACCAGCTGGCAGTGAACAGGAAGATTAGTGATTGAAGCCAGGTGTGGTGCACTCGGGAGGCAGAGGCGGGCAGACTCTGAGTTTGAGCCCAGCCTGGTCTCTAAGTGAGTTTCAGGACAGCCAGGGCTGTTACACAGAGAAGCCCTGTATCCAAAAAAAAATAAATAAATAAAGTAATTAGTGATTGAGGGGAGTCTGTGTGCCCGGTTCATTGGTAGCTTATGTGTATGTGTTGAGTATGTGTCTGTGATTGTGAACGAGGGTAACAGGTCCATTCTGGCCTTCTGGTTGCTTACTATACAGTGGAGACAAGCCATAAAGAGTTCTAGTTCAGAGGGTTGGGGATTTAGCTCAGTGGTAGAGTGCTTGCCTAGCAAGCGCAAGGCCCTGGGTTCGATCCTCAGCTCAAAAAAAAAAAAAAAAAGAGTTCTAGTTCAGAGCTTCTTTGGGAATGAAGTGGTGGTGCCAGGACTTCTAGAAGAGAAATCCCACCCTGGGATTTCACCACCATTTGGTCAGGTGAAAGGACCAAGTGGAACCCTCAGATTCTGGAATTCGAGCTGGAAGCTCTTAAGTAGACAAGAGGTGACAGGAAAGTCTGGCCATCTCCCAGTCTCCTGAGTTCTCGAATCTTAAACCCAACCTTTTAATATGTCATCCAGGGATCCCTCGGAGGTGCTCTGGCTACCACAGATTTTGCTCAAGCTGTATTGAGTACTGCTCTGCCATCTCTGCAAGGCCCAAATCTTGCTCAACCCCTGTACTTCACAAAGCCTCTCCCTGGCTTCCCTGACCAGAATCCCTCCCCCACTTAGAATACACATTTTGAGGCTGGAGAAATGACTCAGTGGTTAAGAGCAGCGGCTGCTCTTCTAAAGGACCCTGGTTCAATTCCCAGCACCCACATGGCAGCTATCAACTGTCTG